ACCATAGAGTTGAGGGTCCATATCTGGGCTCTCTACTCTGTTCCACTGGTCTATGTGTCTGTTTTTATGCCAGTACCATGCTGTCTTGGTGATCACAGCTTTGTAGTAAAGCTTGAAATCAGGTAACGTGATGCCCCTAGTTTTATTTTTGTTTTTCAACATTTCCTTAGCGATTCGGAGTCTCTTCTGGTTCCATACAAATTTTTAGATTATTTGCTCCAGCTCTTTGAAGAATACTGGTGGAAGTTTGATTGGAATGGCATTCACTAATCTACTTGTGTGCTATAGATGTGCTATTTCCAGACACCTCATATAAATGGATTTATACAGTATTTGGTCTTTTGTAACTAGTATTTGCCACTGAGCATAATGTTTTGAAGGTTCATTGATGTTGTAGCATGTATCGGCACTTCAATCCTTTTTATTACTGAATAATATTTCATTGCATGGCTATACCACATTGTATGGATATACGGATATAAAACGTTAATGGACATTTTGGTGTTTCCACTTTTTGGCTGTTTTGCTGCTACATAGTTCCGTTATGTAGTTATGCTACTACAAACATGTGTAAACAAGTTGCTATGTGGATATATTTTCATTTCTCTTGAGTATATACATAGGAGTGAAATTTCTGGGCCACACGGCAAATCTATGATTAAGATTTTGAAAACCTGTCAAACTTGACAATATTCCCTGATCCACAAACATGAGATGTCTTTCCATTTATTTAGGTCTTCTTTGATTTCTTTCAACAACGTTTTGTAGCTCTCAGTATATAAGTTCTTCATCTTTTTCATTAACTTGATTCCTAAGTATTTATTCTTTTTGATATTATTATAAATGGAATTTTCTTACTGTCACTTTTAGATCGGTCATTGCTAGTGTAGAAGTACAACTGATTGTTGTATATTGAGTAGGATACAAGTATCCTACAACCTTGTTGAACTTGTTTATAATTTCTAATAGTTTTTAGTGGATTCCTTAGGATTTTCTATATACAAGATCATGTCATCTGCATGGTTTTACTCCTTCCTTCCCAATCTGGAATTTTTTTTTCTTGTCTAACTGCCCTGGCTAGAACCACTATTGCAGTGTTGATTAGAAGTGGTAAGAACAGACATCTTTATCTTGTTCCTGTTCTTAGGGAGCAAACATTCAGTCTTTTACCACTACTAATGTTAGCTGTGGGCTCTTCATAGATGTCCTTTATTAGGTTGATTTGGATTATGGATTTTGCTGAAACATGTATTTAAATCATATGCTACCAGAGCAGTGTAGAATGTCACTTGGCTAGTGAGACTAGCCAAAAAATAAGCTTTCAAATCCACATGATTTTATCTTCTAATCTTGTTTTATTAGGCATTTTGGGGGCAAAATTATATGATAATTGCATACCTCATCTGAAGCCTGGTCCTTTCAGTTTCCAATTTTGGTACAGAGGTTTATGAAAACATACAAAATACCTGTCCAAAGCCAAGAAAAATTGAAAAGAATTCCAACATATTGGAATCTCTCAAAGAATATCAAACGGGATCCAATTCAAATTCCAAGAAAAAAAAGTTTAAAAAATCTTTCTTTCTTCATTCCTATCCCATTCAGTCTCCCACAGGAACCCACAATTAAGGTCTTCTTTTCCCCCCATTCTCTGCCTTTCTGTTTCCATTCATTATATCACAAATTGCCCATTTGTAAAACATAGGCCAGTCTCTGCCTGCATTTAATTTGATAAAACATCTTAAACACAAATTTAATTAGTTGTTAAGATTTATAAATTAGGAAATGACACATAAAAATCTACATATCTGGGGCGCCTGGGTGGCTCAGAGGGTTAAGCCTCTGCCTTTGGCTTGGGTCATGATCCCAGGGTCCTGGGATCAAGCCCCACATCGGGGCTCTCTGTTCAGCAGGGAGCCTGCTTCCTCCTCTCTCTCTGTCTGCCTGCCTCTCTGCCTACTTGTGATCTCTGTCAAATAAATAAATAAAATCTTTTAAAAAAATTTAAAAATTTACATATCTGATTTCCCTTTAAAATTTTGAGTTTGGGGGAAAAAAAAATTGAGTTTGGCAAAATGTGGCCTGCACTTTACCACTAAATGGCAGTGAATAGTGGGTACCTCCTTCAAATATGACAAGTCCTCGAATTTGCTGCAGTCTTTACCACTCCCTACTGTATTAGACACGGCCAATTTTACTTATGATACAGGCTTAGCTTCTATAGATACTGGGATTCATGACCTTTTAATGCCATCCTTTCCAATGTATATTAATCACACTCTCTCAGATTCCTTCCAGTTTTGCAACTTTTTCTACTTACTATACTGAGCAGTAAAACAAAATTTCTGAAAGGATCCTTTGACAATTGTCTAGAGTCCAGAGATAAGCTGTGGCCTTTTGGGCCCTATAAGCATATTAAAATTCCTGTGGAGATCTCTATCTGATGAAAAGGAGGGGGAAACTCAAACCAGGGGTTACACTAACTTTGTATATGGAAGACCTCTTTCAGGGAAGAAAAGCCCATCTCAGAGAGAGAATAAAAGGGAAAAGCCCTGGGCAGTCTGTGCCTATTGTTGTTATAAAAGTAGTGATTTACAATATTGGCCTTTCTGGAAAAAGGAAGAGGGAATGGAGAAAGGAAACAGATGTTACAGTAACATCAATGGGATCTATGAAAAGCAATTACAATGTCAATGACTTAACATAAATGATATACATACCTCAACTGATGAATTAAGAGCTGTTATTTTCTCTGGAAGTGGCTACTTGACTGTAGGGAAAAAAAACAAAAACTTGCACTTACTTCAGTCTGTTTCTTTACTCTGACCTTTAAATCTTTATTTGTATTTCTTAAAAACCTCAATTATCTTAGAATGACTGGGACAACTTTGCAGTATTTAACATGTACTACAATTAATCTTCTTTCTAAAGCAGGAGAACTCCCATCCTCTTCAATAGTGACAGATTCCATTAACAGGTCAACCTAAAAATAAGACTACAAAAATCAAAAGCTGCATTTGAAATACATGTATATATGGTTGGGTTTTTGGATTACATTTCAGTAATCCTCTACCTAACAAGAGAATGTAACAATATGTATATGATTCACAAAACAGAGTGAAGGCTAATTTCCTAAATATGGTTATATAATTGGCCTCAGTTTCTTTTTAGCCAATAATTGTTAAAAAGCAGATCTACTTAATAATAATAATTAATTTCTGATTGGTTCCACTGTTATGGTGTCAGATGGAACCCAACAATTTGGACCACAGAAGGTTAGTATATTAGACCTCTATGAATTCATTAAAAATAAATAAGAAAATTATATTTTATCATTTGTTCATTTGTGTTCTTATTTCCAGACTATTTGTTTTTTTCTTTAAGATGATCTATTTTTTAGAGAGAGAGAGAGAGAGAGAGAGAGAAGCACAAGTGGCACTGGAAGAGGGAAAAGGACAAGCAGACTCCTGGATGAACACAGGACTCGACATGGGGCTAGATTCTAGGACCCCAGATCATGACCTGAGCCAAAGTCAGATGCTCAACCAACTGAGCCACCTAGTGCCCAAGCTTATTTGTGAATATTTGATATGTGGGGCGAAGTAAACAATGTGTGTACTTAAACACATACATACGTAGACTCACAACAGTTAATAAGATGAAGTGCTCAGTTTGTCAACACAAAATGAGTCATCTTTTAGAATTTCTCAAAGAAAGAAAGAGTTTTATTCCTTCTCAATTTAGGACAGCTGCCCAGATGCACAATCTTCATAAAGAAGACAGTGCTCCAGGGAAGGAACATTTAGTGAAGGATTATATACATTGTTTGCATAAAAAATTACAAATGATTAGATAAAAGATATTCCAGAAAGAAACAGACTTTATCTTAAGTTTAGTAGATGGAGGGCTACATGACCTTAATCTTACAGGAACCAGGGAAGGTGTTTTTGTTTTTGTTTGTTTGTTTGTTTGTTTAACTCTTTTCTTTGTGTCTGAAAAGCTCCTTTTTAGGTTATTTATAAACAAAGCAGATGGACAATATGTGCTCAGGGCAGAAGTAGACCCCATGCTTCGAGATTTTTGCAGACTCTGGTAGATGTTAATGTATGCTTTCCCTGAGAACCCATGAGTGGGCCCAGAAATACTAAAAGTTTAAAATGTCCCTTTATTTATAATTCTCACTAACATTGTCTCCTATAAAGCACCTTATAGTGCCTTGCCTCACCAACAGTTTGAGATTTAGAATACTGAACCATTTCCCACCCCCCAGCCCTGTTTTTAGCATACATTTGGCTAAAACTTACTGCTACACAACTGGCCACCACACCGGTTTTTGAAAACTCTAAAACAGCCTATCTCATTGGTTGCAAACACCAGGGACAACAAATGTGTAACAGGTAGTGACTTGCCCCATTTTTCCTGTCCCAGGCCATGTGCCCTGTTCCCCACTAGCAATCAAACATGCATTGGATTTTGTTTCTAACAACAAATCCCCATGAACCTAGAAATCCTCTACATCTACAAAGAAAACTCGAGCTTGTGAGAAAAGGGAGAATCCCTTCATTTAGGGCTCAAAGAACTATAAAAAGTCTCACCGGAAAGGTGAGCCTACAGAAACGGGAGCATCGTGCACTCAAAACTCTACCCAATCATTGGACAACGGCCTTCGGGCCGCTCCTGCTGCTGTGCTTACGCTACCACTGCCGCCCTTCGTCCGGAGTCCTTAGTTCATTCCCTCTATCTCTGCTCTCCTCCAGCTCTGCGCCCGACTTCCGGTCGAACTTCCCGCGCAGGGAACCCGCCAATCACAAACGTTTTTCCTCGGGCCACGCCCCCTGCCTCCGGCTTCTGGAGCCGAGTCCAATTTCTCGTACACCCCTCCCTCCCTCACGCACGCTGCGCGCGGACGCCGGCCTCTGACGCCGTCGTCGCCCCGGCGCCGCGTCCCGCCCTGGCCGCTCCCGCGGACGGTTAGGCGGCCTGCCCAAGTCCCTCCTTCGGGACCTCCCCCCGCCCCTGAACCGCTCTCGCGGCAGCGACCCATGTGGGAGTTCAGGCTCCTGCGGTCGCCGGCGCCGCTGTTGCTCCTCCTGCCGCAGCTCAGCCTCGGAATCGCCGCGTCCCGCTCGCAGGCCGAAACCATGAACCTGGGCGGCGGTGGCGGCGCGCGGTGCTCCTCCTCGGCGGAGGTGCGCCGGCCGCAGTGCCTGCAGCTGTCCACGGTGCCGGGAGCTGACCCGCAGCGCAGCAACGAGTTGCTCCTGCTGGCGGCGGAGACGGCGGGGGAGGGACCGGAACGGCGCGCCCTGTCTGGGGAGCGGGCGAAGGAGGAGCCGCAGCCAGCGCCCCAGCATCACGTTCTCTATTTCCCCGGGGATGTGCAGGTAACCTGGGGCCTGCCTGGACACCTGTTCCCTCCCCGTGTGCATATGCGAATTCCCTCAGTTTCTCCCTTGCACTAGTGCGGGGTTCCTCGCCTCCCCTGAACACACCCACACATGCGCTCACAGCGTGGCTCTTGAGTTACTCCGCGAAATCCAAAACCGCCCCTGCCACGCCCCTGACCCTCTGCTTTTGCAGCCCCGGAGGGAAGGTGTCCTTGGAGGGTTACGACTGACCTCGGAAGAGCCAGCTGTTCGTTCGGGCTTGGGCGGGGGTGGGGGGTGATTTTGAGACCGAACGAATGAGGCAGGCACATCATGTGTGTTCATTCTCCAACTTGGTTTCTCCGAGGTGCGCGCGCGTACATGTGTGTTAGGAGACGGGATGGCTCTCAGATTAGCACGCAGTGTTCCGAAAACGCTGGCAGTAACTAAAAAGCAAACAAGTAAAAAAAAAAAAAAAAAAAAAAATTATAAGAATGACACCTTTAGTAACCCTAGAAAAGGCAAAGGGGTGGGTGGAAGAAAAGGGTCATTAATTGCTAAGCATGTCAGTGTTTTGTGCTCACCTGAATTCTGTACTTTTGTATGTGATTTTATCTTTATTATTAATTTTATATCTTCAAATATTCGTGGATGTATTGTCCTGCAAAGCTGGGTCTTAATTTAGATCTTAATCCAGAACTCTGTTGCCTTATATGTTAGCCATTAGTTATATGTGGCTATTTAAATTAAATTTAAAAATCCAGTTCGTCAGTTGTACTAGCAGCATTTCAAGTGCTTAGGAGCACCTGAGGTCTGTGTGTGCCCTAATGGACGGCGCAGATACAGAGCATTTTCACAGAACATTTGGATCATCACGGAAAGTTTTGTTGAGTAGTGCTGGTGTGGACAGGGAAAGCTCAAATGTGGCTAGATGTGTTTCTTATACCGTGAAACAGTATTAGTTTATTGTTTTTGAAATTGTTGCTTAAAAATGATACAGTTACAAACTTTGTGCCCTGTGTCCAATGATGATTAAGAGATATGTAGTTTTTTTCTCTTGTTCTTAAAATAATTAACTGGGCTGATGGCTGATAACAACTATGAAAAAACTAGTATTTGGATTTGAGAGAAGGTACTTACTCAGTTAATGCTCTGTTGCTCAGTGTGGGAAAACAAGATGACATTACTCATGGCCACTTGCAGAGATCTGAGGAATAGCTCGGGTGTGCATCTGTAATGATGATGATGGTGATGATAGTAATGGTAACTAACCTTTATTGAGCACCTACTAAATGTTTATAAAGTGTGACAACCAGAATACAATGCAGGTCTAAAAAGTCTAAATATACTTAGAGTCATATCTCCTTTTGTTTTGACATCATCCATTTCCTTATGTAGCCTGAGATTCCATTAGCTTTTTGGACAGTGATACAGTGTTTTATGCAGAGTATGAAGTGCTTTAAAAACCCAGGTCCTTTAAAGATAATGCATCAGAAGGCTTTGGCCAGATTGCCTAGGGTTGAACCCCGATTCTGCACTTTTTAGCTATGAATTCTCCGGCCAATTGCGGCTACCTCAACTAGGAATAATAATTTATAGAATATCAGTGAGGACTAAATATGTGAACACCTGATGAGTGACAGTTCCTTCTCATCTTTCTGATCACCTTTTTTATTGGGCTACCCTAGTGCTCAGTTTGTGGACTTTTCTCTTCTGCCTTTACTCCCTTAGTGATCTCTTTGAGTCTTGTAATTTTACATTCTACCTGTACTCTGATGACCTTCAGCATTTGTGTATCTAGCCTATGTAGGTTCCTGGAACCTTAGGCTTAACCTATTGCATGCACAATATTTCCTTTTGGATAGTTAATAGATATCTCAAACTAAAATCTCTGGATTTTTGCTTTTAAATCTGTTCTTCCTTCAGTCTTCCTCATCTCAGTTAATGGAAATTCTTTTTTAGTTGCTGAAGTTAGAAATCTTGAAGTTATCTGTTAGTAACCTCTCTTTCACACCTCATACCTCCATCAAAAAATAAAGTTGCTTCCCCTTCTAAATCTTTCTGGAAGTGATCAGATGAGTCAGTTTAAAAGTTAAGTCCAGTCATGCCACACCACTGCTCAAAACTCTGCAGTAGCTTCCCAAATCACTCAGAGTAAAAACCAGAGAATCTTGATGTTTTGAAGGGCTCTTCACTGTCTTCATCTTTTCCCACTCTGTTGCTTTTCTGTCTCCTTTTTCTGTTTTACTCTGCCCTAGCAGCGGTATTCATATTTTTCATGGTAGATACACTTTACCTCAGAAGCTTTGCACATACTGCCCCGAAAATCTTCCTGCAGATATCTATAGGATTCATTACCTCACTTGTTTTGAGTCAGTTCAAAAGTTGCATTCACAGTGAGGCCTTTTCTGACCACCGTATTTAGTAATCAGATGTATCCACAGGATCCCTGTCAGCTTTTCTCTTTTATTTTTACCCATTTCATTTACTGTATTAGTCATTTTAGTTTTTGTCTGTCTTCCAGCACTACAGTATAAGCTTCATGTCTGTTTTTTTCACTAATACATCTGTGTAAATAGATACCTGCCAGTGAATGGCATGTACTGGGTGTTCAATATGTAACTTGTTGAATGAATGAATGAATATATGTAAGTTGCTTTGAGCAGTGCTCAAAGTGCTTGATAAATTTTGGCTATTATATGAAATGCTTTGGGCTCAGATTTCCTCATCTATATCTTTGTATTTGATATTTATGATCTTCGTGTTCATCCTTGTGAAATTTACTGTTAAATACAGCTCGTCTTATTAGTGTATCGAATCTTTTATAGAACCATTATTCTGGTTATATCATATATAAAGTAAATAAGCATACTTTGTGTATCTTTATTCTTAATTTGGAGAAATACTGAACAGAAGTGGGCCAACAGAACTTTGTAGGGTACCATTAGAAGATTTACCTCACGTTAACACCAATTTATTATTTGGTATCAGTTAGATCTAGTTGTCTGTAATTTTAAATTTTAATTACCATTGCTTTCTCTTTTTTTTTTTTTTTTAAGATTTTATTTATTTATTTGGCAGACAGAGATGACAAGTAGGCAGAGAGGCAGGCGGCGGGGGGACAGGCTCCCCACTGAGCAGAGAGACCGACGCAGGGCTCGATCCCAGGACCCTGGGATCATGACCTGAGCCGAAGGCAGAGGCTTTAACCCACTGAGCCACCCAGGCGCCCCTTACCATTGCTTTCTTGATGTTCCTTTTGCAATCATTGTTTTCTTGTTGTGTGTCCTTTTTTATTCTGTACTTGTTATTTTTTCATTTGAGTTAACAGGTGAGCTGAGAACATAGTAATTCATATTTCTTAAAGTACTTTGATTTTTTTAATCCATCAGTAATGATTTTGGAGGAGGGGAGTCAGGATTTTTTTAAATAGGTGCTTTCCAATTTTCTTGAGTTATCTTTCTTTTAAATAAAAGCCTCAGGATATAAAGTTATACTTATCTCTCTTTTTTAAAGTATAAGCTTACACTTTGATGAATTTTGACAGATGTTATAATTATGTAACCAATGCCACAGTGATCTTATACAACATCTCCATCACCCTAAAAAGGACCCTTGTGCCCCACTTTTGTCTTTTTTCTCAGCCCCAGGCAACCAGTGACCTTTTTTTCACTATAGTTTTACCTTTTCTAGATTTTCATGAATTTGGAATCCTAGTATGTGGTCTTGTGTCTGGCTTCTTTCACTAGTGTATAATGCTTTGAAATTCATTCTTACTGTTGCCTGTATCAATAGTATGTTCCTTTTTATTGCTAAGTAGTTTTCTATGTATGGAAATACAGTTTGTTTACTCGTTTAGCAGTTGGTGAACATTTGGGTCATTTCCAGTTTTACCTTTAAAAAATTTTTGTTTTCCTAAAGGCTAGGGTATATAGATGATTGTGCCCTAAGTGTATGCCTGGTGAGTAAAGACTACTTCTCCTGTGTCATGCCTTTACTACTCACACTACTGCCACACTCATAACACTCCTGAAACCTAATATGTGGGTTTTTCCCCATACCAGGTAATGCTCCGTGACACCAGCTGGGTATCCCAGTACTTAATTCTGACAGTATCTACCTGCGGTTATTGTCACATTTCACAAGTTAAGAGCTCAGTCCCACAAGACTGCCCCCCACTTCAGATGCCATTTGCAAGTCCCAGGTTGTCATCTGTGCTGCTGCTGACTGGCTGTAAATTGGGATTGCCATGATGCCCTCCTTGGGTTCAGTTAATCTGCAAGAGTGACTCATAGAACTTAGGGAAACAGTGTGTTTACTATTTACCCACTTTCTATGAAAGGATGTGATAAAGAATACAGATGAATATCTAGATGGAAGAGTTGCATACGGTATGTGGGAAGGGGTGTGGACCTTCCAAAGCTCACTCTCCGCACACCACTCTCCTAGCACCTCCGTGTGTTCACCAACCTAGAAGTTAGTAGAACCCATACTTTGCGGATTTTTTATGGAGGCTTCATTGCATAGTTACAGTCAATCATTAACTTCCATTTCCAGCCCCTCTTTGGAGAATGGAGAGTGGGACAGAAAGTTTCAAACTTCTAATCATGTCTTGGTCTTTCTGGTTGACCAGTTCCTATCCAGGAGCCCACCAAGAGTTACCTCATTAGAACAGAGATGTTCCTGTCACCCAGGAAATTCCAAGGGTTTTAGGAGCTCTGTGCCAGGAACAGGAGCAGATGAAAATATATGTATTCTATTATTTCACACTTGATCTTGTGCTCTGGGGCTTCCTGTGCTCTTGTCAGACAGCCTTCTTAGGCTGCATCCTGTTATAGTCCTTTTAGCTTGCTTACTTGGGATGTCTACTGTATGCTCAGCAGAGGTGCCCCCTCCCTCCTTTTTTCGGTGGAAGTACAGCTCATATCCAATATAGTTATCCTTGCTCTGCTATAAGACTATTCCACCTAGCTTGAAACCTAATCACAAATGTTTCCAAACTGTTGGAGACACATGCACGTCCAGTTTTCCTAAGAATCTTTTGTACCCTTACTTTAGAAGCAGTATGGGGTGGGCCTGTAACTTTTTGCAGGTCAGCAAGCATCTGCCTGTGAAATAAGCACCCCTTAATCTCTCCAAGAGATTCTTTTGCCACTTGCCTCACTGGTGTTGAGAAGCATCATACCCCCCGCCGCCCCAAGCATTCCGCACTACAAGGCAAATAAGTACATTACATTCCCAATTGGGATGAAAATTCTCAAATGGAAATACTCTCTTTCTATCGTCTTACCCTCTTCTGTAGAGTGGCCCTGGGTAATAGCCAGAGTTCCAGAAACAGTTTTGGCCAGCTGTTAGTGAGTCCTGGGGGATGTCCTGTGTTTCTTTTTAGAATATGGGAGTATTTATCCACTGTTTTGAGATCTGGGTTTTGATACAACAGTGACAGTACTATTTTTATATTTTAGTGCACACAGTTCCTTAGTATAAATATTTTTCCCCTCTGATCATGTAACCTGGGGCTAATCAAAGAAAATATCAAGTTTTTAGATTACCTCCTATGTGGTAGAGGCTAAACTGAGAATTGTAGACTCTTGAGTTCATTTTGGCTCATTAACTAAATAACTATAATAGAAGTAACTATTTAGTTTCTAGCACCTCAGTCTCCTTAGCTATAAGAAGGATTTAGATGAGCCCTTTGAGATCTAAGTTCCTGTTTTGATTTTATATCACAAATATGAATGTGCAAAGGGCAGTAGCAGAATCCATAAAAAGTTAAATGATAGCCTTCTGGGAGTAAGTATTTTTTTAACATATATGACAAACTGTTAATATTAATGAGATTATGAACTATTAAGAAGGACTTGAACATCCAACTGGGAAAATTTTAAAGGATATGAACAGAGGATTAATAAAAGAAAAAAAAAGAAAATTGCCAATAAACAACCAGCTTAGGAATCAAAACATGCAAATTAAATCAGAAGTAAAGTATTTTATCACAGTAGTGAAGATTTTTAAAAAATTAATGCTAATAGCCAGTGTGGGTAATGTGGGTAAATTCTTGTATACTTCCAGTGAGATTGGAAATTGATATTAATCTTTTTGATGGGAAGTCTAAAAATTATACATATCTATATTGATTGATTTGGAACCAAGCCTGTAATATATTATTAAGTGAAAACTATGTATAAGCTTGTTGAGGGAGAAGTAAGAATGGTGTCTTAAATACATATTTACAAATGTGTATGTATACTGAAGAAAACTGGAATGCTAGACTCAAATTTTAATAATGATTATTTCTAATTGATGGTTTTATGGATGGCTTTTCTGTCTTCCTTATACCTTTGTATATAAACTAGTTTTGTAGTTAGTATTACTTTCATTAGTTTTAAGATTTTTAATAGAAAAATATGTGTATTATTAAAAATTAAGTTTATTTAAGGTTATACATTGAAAAGTATAACCTTTTCATTGCAGTCTCTCCGGTCTCCCATTTCTCTTTCCCAAGGCTACCACTGTTGCTGATTTATGTGTTCTTCCACAGACATTCTGTGCTGATGCAAACTTTTTTTTTTAAGATTTATTTCTTTATTTGAGAGAGTGAGAGTGCACGCGCAAGCATGCCCACTCAAGGGACATGGTACAGAAAAGGTGGAGCCTGACTTGGAGCTGATCTCAGGACCTGAAATCATGACCTTAGTGGAATCAAGACACGGACCCTCAACCGACTGATCCACCGCAGTGCCCTACAAACTTTTTTTTTTTTTTTTTAAACACATAGCTTACAGGGTTTTTTTTTTAAGCCCTTATTTTACAATGCATATGAGTACTCGTAGACCTGCTTCATTCTTCTGAAACAGAAATAACCTTATACATGCTTATTTATTTATGCATATGTGCAAGTATATCACTGAGATAAATTCCTAGAAGTGGAATCACTAGGTCAAAAGAGAAGTACATGTAAAATTGTTCAACATAGATAATATATGGCTGTTAGAAAGAAAGGAAAATCACAACTCTGTTTCTCTTTCTCTCATACCCTATATCCAGTCAATCAGCAAATGCTGCTGACTCTACTTTCAAAATATAGTCAGAGTCTGACCACTTCTTACCACTTTAATTTCTACTACCACTCTTGTTCAAGCCGACTTTTCTCGTCAGGATTATACTTCAGGAACCTTCTACTGGTCTTCCTGTTTCAGCTCCTGACCCTTCAACATAGGAGCAAGAGTAATCTTTCAAAACAAATTAAATCAGCCCTGTGCTCTGAGCAAAGGCCAAAGTCCTCACACCTCCCCCTCTCCCCAACAAACTCTCTGGCCTTGGTGATTACTTTTTTTTTTTTTTTTTTTTTTTTTTTTAGATTTTCTTTATTTGACACACAGAGAGAGAAAGAGTGCACAGGCACAAGCAGTGGGGGCAGGCAGAGGGAGAGGGAAAAACAAGCTCCCCGCTGAGCAGAGAGCCTGATGGCCAGGCTCTATGACCTGAGCTGCAGGGATGCCTAACAGACTGAGCCACCCGGGTGCCCCCACTTTCTTTTTGTTCATAGCTCAGGAGCTACTCCAGTCTCACTGCTGTATCTTGGCTGTCCCAGACATGCTTCTGCTTCAGGGCCTTGTGGTTCCTTATGCCTGAAATAGCATGACTGACTTGCTTGGTTCCTTAAGGTACTTCTCAGCTATGGTATTATTGGAGACCACCCTGGGTTTCATATATTCTTCTATCCTCTCCAAAACCTTGTATCTCTTTTGCCCTGCTTTTCAATTAGCAATAATCGCGCCTCGGATAAACCTCATTGGCTACGATACTGCCACTGCGCAAAGCTTCTTTTGCCCTGCTTTTAAAAAAATTATACTCCATTGCATTTATTTATTTACTTTTATTTTATTTTTTTTTGGTGTTCCAAGATTCATTGTTCATGCACCACATCTGTTGCTCCATGCAGTACGGGCCCTCCTTAATATCCACCACCAGGCTTACCCTTCCCCCACCACAAAACCCTCAGTTTCTCAGAGTCCACAGTCTCTCATGGTTTGTCTCCCCCTCCAATTTCCCCCAACTCACTTCTCTCCATCTCCCCCATGTCCTTCAGGTTATTCCTTATGCTCCACAAGTAAGTGAAACCATATGATAATTGACTTTCTAATTGACTTATTTCACTCAGCATAATCTCCTCCAGTCCCATCCAGGTTGATACAAAAGTTGGGTATTCATCCTTTCTGATGGAGGCATAATACTCCATTGTATATATGGACCATATCTTCTTTATCCATTCGTCTATTGAAGGGCATCTTGGCTCTTTCCACAGTTTGGTGACTGTGGCCATTGCTGCTATGAAAATTGGGGTACAGATGGCCCTTCTTTTCACTACATCTGTATCTTTGGGGTAAATACCCAGTAGTGCAATTGCAGGGTCATAGGGTAGCTCTATTTTTAATTTCTTGAGGAATCTCCACACTGTTTTCCAAAGTGGCTACACCAACTTGCATTCCCACCAACAGTGTAAGAAGGTTCCCCTTTCTCTACATCCTCTCCAACATTTACTGTTTACTGTCTTGTTGATTTTGGCCATTCTAACTGGTGTAAGGTGGTATCTCAATGTGTTTTTTTTTTTTTTTTAAGATTTAATTTATTTATTTGACAGAGAGAGAGATCACAAGTAGGCAGAGAGGCAGGTTGAGGGGTGGGGGGTTAAGCAGGCTCCCGGCTGAGCAGAGAGCCCGATGCGGGCCTCGATCCCAGGACCCTGAGACCATGACCTGAGCTGAAGGCAGAGGCTTAACCCACTGAGCCACCCAGGTGCCCTCAATGTGGTTTTGATTTGAATCTCCCTGATTGCTAATGATGATGAACATTTTTTCATGTGTCTGTTAGCCATTTGTATGTCTTTTTTGGAGAAGTGTCTGTTCATGTCTTCTGCCCATTTTTTGACATGATTATATCTTGTGTGTGTTGAGTTTGAGGAGTTCTTTATAGATCTTGGATATCAGCCCTTTGTCTGTAGTGTCATTTGCCAATATCTGCTCCCATTCCGTGGATTGCTTCTTTGTTGACTGTTTCCTTTGCTGTGCAGAAGCTTTTGGTCTTGATGAAGTCCCAAAAGTTCATTTTCTCTTTTGTTTCCTTTGCCTTTGGAGACATGTCTTGAAAGAAGTTGCCGTGGCCAATGTGGAAGAGGTTATTGCCTATGTTCTCCTCTAAGACTTTGATAGATTCCTGCCTCACGTTGAGGTCTTTTATCCATTTCAAGTTTATCTTTGTGTATGGTGTAAGAGAATGGGTCGAGTTTCATTCTCCTAGTTGTCCAATTTTCCCAGCACCATTATTGAAGAGACTCTCTTTTTCCCACTATATATTTTTTCCTGCTTTGTTGAAGATTAGTTGACCATAGAGTTGAGGGTCCATATCTGGGCTCTCTACTCTGTTCTACAGGTCTGTGTGTCTGTTTTTGAGCAGGTACCATGCTGTCTTGGTGATCACAGCTTTGTAGTAAAGCTTGAAATCAGGCAATGTGATGCCCCCAGTTTTGTTTTTCTTTTTCAACATTTCCTTAGCAATTTGGGGTCTCTTCTGGTTCTATACAAATTTTAGGATTGTTTGTTCCAGCTCTTAGAAAAATGCTGGTGGAATTTTGACTGGGGTGGCATTGAAAGTATAGATTGCTCTAGGCAATATAGACATTTTAACAAACTCTCTCTTAGCAGATGACATGATACTTTATATGGAAAACCCAAAAGACTCCACCCCCAAACTACTGGAACTCATATAACAATTCAGTAATGTGGTAGAATATAAAATCAGTGTACAGAAATCAGTTGCTTTCTTATACACTAACTGTAAAAATATAGAAAGGGAAATTAGAGAATCGATTACATTTACTATAGCACCAAGAACCATAGATACCTGGGAATAAACCTAACCAAAGAGGTAAAAGATCTGTACTCAAGGAACTACAGAACATTCATGAAAGAAATTGAAGAAGACACAAAAAGATGGAAAAGCATTCCATGCTCATGGATTGGAAGAATAAGCATTGTTAAAATGTCTCCATTGCATTAATTACCGTCTTAATATTTCGTGCTGTTAGCCACTTGTGGCTATCGATCACTTGAAATGCTAGTCTAATCAAGGAATTCAATTTTTAATTATATTTAACTTTAAATTTAAGTCTAAAAACTGATAGTTCAGTTCCTAAAAAACTTTTAAGTATATTTGAACAACTTGGATATGTGAATCTACTTTTTCAACTGTAAATTTTATGAAATCTAAATTCAGATCCAGTAGTTCCAATGAAAATTTACCATTCAAATTGAGATGTGCTTTAAGTATAAACACACACAGGATTTCAAAGACTTAGAAAAAGGAATACGATAATCTCTCATTGGTTTTTTTATATTGGTTACATGTTTAAATTATAATACTTTGATATATTGGGCTCAATAACATATTATTCAGAGTAGTTTCACCTGTTAACTTCTTACTTTGTAAAATGTAGCTACTTGAAAATTTTATGTGGAGCATGCTATATTTCTGTTGGACAGAGTTGCTCTGTTTACTTTATATCTCTGTACTAGAATGTAAGCTAGAATGTTTACTTTGTATCTCTGTACTAGAACATAAGCTCTGTGGGGGTAGGAGTGTAGTCTGTTCTGATCCATACCCAATCAGTAGGTATCCAGTAAATCTCATGGAATAAATTTGAATGATTTTCCCCCTTTTAAAAATAGCTGCTGTGAATATAAATAGAAAGGAAAAAAATTTATATGAATATCCTAGAACCTATATAAAAAGTTATTAATATATATAGAATGCTCTTAAATAAATAAGATCCGAATAAAAAAGGTCCAAAGTTATGAACAGATACAAATAGAAATCCAGGTGGCTAATAAATATATAAACAAATTACAACGTCATTCAAATCTTCGGTGAGTCCAAATTAGAATAAGCTATCCTTTGCATAAGAAATTGAATGAAGATCTAAGAATTATACATACCTCTCTGGAAGATAGCGTTGTAGTCTATATAACTAATCTTAAATTACGAGTATTCTTTGACCCAGTTTTTCCATTTCCAGGAATTTATTTTTATTTATTTATTTTAAAAAGATGTTATTTATTTACAGAGAGAGAGCTGGGGAAGGGCCAGAGGGAGAGAATCTCAGGCAGGCTGCCCACCCACCACAGAGCCCATGCAGGGCTTGATCTCATGACTCTGAGATGATACTGGCACCAAAATCAAGAGTCCAACACTTAACTGACTTAACTGACTGAGCCACCCAGGCGCCCCATATCCAGTAATTTATTTTTATTGATGTAATCATAGATGCATAAAAAGATTTTTCTAGAATGTTCATTGCAGTTTTGCACACTTTTGACCCTTGAACAATTTAGGGTCTAGGGGCACTGACTCCCACACGGATGAAAATCTACATGTAACTTTTGATTCCCCCAAATCTTAACTACCTGATAGCCCGTTGTCTACTGGAAGCCGTTCTTATAATGTAAACAGTCAATTAACATATATTTTGTATGTTCTATGTATCATATACTTTATTCTTAAAGTAACATTTTTCTTAAAATATTATTATGCAGGCACCTGGCTGGCTTAGTTTGGTGGAGCATGGGACTCTTGATCTCAGGGTTGTGGGTTCAAGCCCCACACTGGGTGCAAAGATTGTTTAAAAATAAAATCTTAAAAAAAATGTTATTAAGAAAATCATAAGAGAAAATACATTTACAGTATTATGATTACTTATAGGAAAAAACTCACTTGTAAGTGATTTGCACAGTTCAAAGCCATGTTCTTCAAGGATCAACTATAAATATCAAAATTAAAATCAAACTTAACATTTAGGTTGTTAGAGTAATCCAAAAGGGAGGGTTCAGGATAGCAGCTTTAATGGGAAAGTATTTTAAAGTTCTGGATTGGTCGAAAGTCTGTTTAATAAACCAGGGTCCTGGGATCAAGCTCCACGTCAGGCTTCCTGCTCATTGGGGAGCCTGCTTCTCTCTCCCCCTGCTCTTACATTCTCTCTCTCTCCTTCTCAAATAAAAAAAAAAAACAAAAAACAAAAAACAAAAAAAAAACTTAAAAAAATAATAAACCAATTTTTATTTTCAGTTAATGTGTTAAGAATAGGAGATTGTATGTATACTAAATAAAATTTATTTTAAAATAGAATCCTTTTAAAGTAAGTTTTATTTTTAAATTTCCACTGTTTAGCTATATCTTATAACCTGTCTTTTGACAGGTTATAAGGATTTTAGGTTTAAACTAAAGAAATTATTTGTTTAGAGTCTTATTATCAGAAAGTAATGATGGATTTATAGTTTCCATTTCTAGTACATTAACCATTGGTCATATAACATCCCAATTTCCTCCACAATAAAAATAGGAAACTGTTCTGTGGAAATAATTTTATATAAATGTGTATTTAATGCTTGTTTCATCTTTCTTACCTTTCAGAATAACCATGAAATTATGACTCGTCATCCTGAGAATTATCAGTGGGAAAACTGGAGTCTAGAAAATGTTGCCACCATTTTAGCCCACCGGTTCCCCAATAGTTATATTTGGGTGATAAAGTGTTCCCGAATGCATTTGCACAAATTCAGCTGCTATGACAATTTTGTGAAAAGTAATATGTTTGGTGCTCCAGAACACAATACTGACTTTGGAGCTTTTAAGCACCTTTATATGTTATTAGTTAATGCTTTTAACTTAAGTCAGAACAGTTTGTTATCAAAGAAGAATGTGAAAGATTTGAATAAGGACTCCAGAGCATCTAATTGCAGATCCAGTTCTTCTCACACTACTAATGGTTGCCAGGGAGAAAAAGAGAGGACCTGTGAAAAATCTGATGAGTCCACCGTGAGTTTTTACCCACCATCACTAAATGGTGCTTCTTTTACTTTGATTGGATTCAGTAAAGGTTGTGTTGTTTTGAATCAATTGCTTTTTGAATTAAAAGAAGCCAAGAAAGACAAGAACATAGATGCTTTTATCAAAAGCATAAGAACAATGTACTGGCTGGATGGCGGTCATTCTGGAGGAAGCAATACTTGGGTTACTTATCCAGAAGTCTTGAAAGAATTTGCACAAACAGGGATTATTGTTCATACCCATGTAACACCTTACCAGGTATGTGATCCAATGAGATCTTGGATTGGAAAGGAGCACAAAAAATTTGTTCAGATTCTTGGAGATTTTGGTATGCAGGTGACTAGCCAAATTCATTTTGCAAAGGAAGCTCCTTCCATAGAGAATCACTTCAGGGTTCATGAAGTATTTTGAGACTACAAGAATATTAATGTACGTGTTCAGTGAAAGAGCAAAAGCACTTTGAGTGTTATAAATTCAGATAATGAGATATAATTCATAGATGCACTGTCAGTTTTTTTGGGGGGGTGGGGGGAGGAAGCACACATTCCTAAAATGAGTGTAATGTGCAATAGTATTCCTTGCTTGTGAATGTGAACAGTTTTTACTTCAGAATGGGTTAGAAGTAATTCATTTGCAAAGTAAAAGATGTTTGTGATGATCCTAAAAGGAGGATCATCCTTAAGAATGAAAGTTACGATATAGTCCTTAGAAAAGGTAATGAAAGTTGTTATTGTTGGAAGTAGTTTATTTTCTGAGTACTGTTTGGAACTAATTTTGGTGACACTAACAGTAATTAGTTATTTGGCACTCAAAACTCCATTTCTCGTCAAATAAAGCAAAGGCACACTGATGTTTTCCATAATTTTAGAATTAACTATACCCTGCCTCTTATATTTTATAAACTCCTAGTCATTCTTTAATGTGCCACCAAGAGTTTTTTTCTTAGGAGTCAAAATATATTTGTTTCCAAATTTCCAAGAACATGCAGTAGTGTATAGTAGGTTTTTAAAATCATTACACTTAAGGACTATGGCTTAATTTTTGACAACTTTTAGATATTTTGGATTGACTCTTGGCCAAAAACCAGTTCTTTTGAAAAATTGTTTTAAATTGAATGTAATTAGGTATATTGGGTAAAAATACGCTACAGATTTTTATCAAATTGGTCTTTTGAAAGAGATCAGCTTAGGTGAAATAAATGTGTAACACTTTATTTGTTACTGCTCTATTGAAAAGGAGACAGATTCTATAGATCTAAGTCAGTGTTTCTCCAGAAGCATGATTTTATCTGCCAAAAGAAAGCAGCTCTCTTTGGCCAAAATGCAAAATTATATTGCTATAAGAAAAGTTACAGGCAAAGTTTGAAGACACAAATGATTTAATTTTGGCTCAAAAACTGAATTTGCTTAACACTGCTACATAATTTGGGTGAGGTTTCCTTCTGCTTGTTTTTCTTGACCTAGATAAATACATTTTGAGAAACCAAGATCTAATGAATGTCAACCAACATTAATAGCTGTGTGATTACAATAAAAGGTAAACACTTTATTAATAATAATTAGCTTTTGCAGGTCATGAAATAATTAAGCAGGGAAGTAACATTGCTGCTTTCAGACTGAAAAAAATAAAAAAGACACTGAAGCTTAATATCTTAATAACCCAGAGGACCTAAATTTATAAAATATAGAATTAAAATGTTAATCTCTTGGTTTCTTCCCAGAATTATATTTTAATGACTCTATAATACATTCCAAATATTCAGACTTACAAGAATTCTTACTCACCAAATGCTTAAAAATAACAACCCTTAATTCTATAAAGTACAGAATAGTATCTCTCAATTTTTTTAAGGACAAGTTAGTTTATATTGCTTCAGTTTCTTTAAATACCTGTTTCTTTTGAGACCAAAAATTCCCAACAAGGAGACAAATCCTGATGCTAGCATTTTATTACCTAAACCTAAAGTACCATGCCTGGATGGCTTCTTTCACTGTTTAATAATCCTTGGTTAAATTCATGTGAATCTAATGTTAAATAGCTAAGGTAGTGAATGCACTAATGGGGGGAGGGCAGGAAAGGCACTTATTTTTATAGGATTAACTAAAATGGAAGAAGTAGGACTTTTTGCAGAAGAGTTCACTGAAAAAATCTGAGGTATTTAAGAATCTGCGTTCTTTAGCTATCTTGTCATGTGACTGCTTACTTAGATTTGTCTGTCCAATGGATATGAAGAATAACTCACTGGACACCTGGAACTGCCACTGCGGCAAAGTGAGAGTGTTGAAAGTAGAAGTCTTTTCTTGAATGAAAATATATTCCAGTTGATCCATCTTCAAATAGTTTAAGACTTCAAATTTGTCTTCTCTACATTTGTTTAAAACTATTGTAAATGTTAGTGTATCCTTCTGGACCGTGCCTTTGTGTTTGTGTCAAGAGAGTCAACTGAGAAGTCCTACAGATAATGTGAAAGTTGTTACCGCCACAGCATGAATGTACAATTGTATTAAATTTAATCCGGAGAAGTCTGTTTGGATGTGCTTTATGTTACCAGATTTGTTAAAACTTCAGATTGTTACTTGGAAGGAAGCTATTTCTTTCCACTTTGCCAGTTTAGGTTTGTGTATGTTTTCATTAACCCTCCATGTTTTTTCATATGAGGAACTTTGAACCTTTCCTTGTAAAAATACATTTCTTCTCACCTTTAAATTGTCCCACAAAAATTCACTTTATTTCCATTTCTTCTTTTAAATTTCTTGGGAGAAAAAAAAATTGCTCAAAAATAAGTTTTTTCCTTTTATGTGCTAATCCTTTCAGGTATCTGTATTCCTTTTGCTGTCATTAAGAGACTTAGTTAGAATATGGTGTGGTCTGTTTTTCATTTCATTCATCTAATATCTAAGCACCTACCAAAGGTAAGAAAGATCTAGACACAGACAAAACAGTCCCAAGCATTTGAGTATAGAAATGTATAATAGACTAAGGCTTAAAAGTGAAAATATGAAACAAAAGATAGTATTCTTAAAAGAACTATTCTGTTAGACTTCATTAAAGGCTTTTAAGAGAAACATGTTTTAGAGGATAAGATATATATAGGTAAATAGACCTTATCTGTAAATTCAGGTTGGTCTTTACAAAGGCAGAGACCCAGCAGCTCTTAGTGGTAGAGATGTGCGGTCACTTAAGGATGGTCATTTTAGTATCCCATTTAATGGAATTTAAAAAAAAAGAATACAACTTAGGTGTATTTAAAACACCCAAATAGTCATGGACTACATGCTTGAAATAAGACTTTAAGGTGATATGAGGGATATGTGGGTGACTGCCAATCTATGTTAGTTCCTCCTCACTGCATTTTAGCAGTGGAGGAAGGAGTCACAGCAGCACAGTTCCAACTCCATCCAGACCTGCATTCCAGCTTTCTGTGGGTTCCTTTTTTTTTTTTTTTTTTTTGTCAACTTCTTAGATGTCTGTTGGCAACTTTAGATAGGTGAGAGAAAAGACTCCCTACTAAGGTTCTTTCCAAATGTTCACATAGCTGCTGTTCAAAAGGATGGAAAGATACAAAATAAGCCTTGTTGACTTTATTTCCCTTTTTAAAAATACTTTATGAGTGACAAATTTTAAACTAATTACAGAATAAATAGAATTTCAGTGTAATTATATGCCAAGACACTTAATGTTCACGAAAAACTTTTATAGTCTACACATGTATTTTAAAGTTATCTTGAAAGAATGATACATAGAGGGACCCCCAAAAAAGGTCAAATAATACACAGCTGCAGATTCTAGTCTGCCCACCTAACTTGTCTAACTTCTCAGAGGCGATCATTATCATTGGTTTCTCGTAAACGTATAGGTAAACGTATACGTATACAAATGTTTACTTACAGAATACCTTTGTTTTACACAAATGGCAGGATGCTATACCCAGTTTCCAACCTTTTTCTCATTTAATTACCTTGGAAAAATTTCTTGCCAATACTACAATACCTGTCTCATTCTTTGCATAGTATTCCATTTTTATATTACCCTTTGCTGTCTACTAGCTCATTAATCTTATTTTGTATCCCTTTGTCTTACTTTGTATCTTTTGTCTATGTGGAGCGGTGAGTTGCTTTGCTGGCAGAGGAAAAGAATTCCTTTGTGAATCAGGTCAAGCCCCCAAACCGTAGCCAAAGAACAGAGATGAACTGCACCTAAGGGAGAAAGCGTGGAGAATGACTGATCTGGTCACAACTGTTAATTCCAGTTCTGTCACCCAGCTGTGTAAACCTGCACAATCACTTAAGCCATCTAGATTGATAAAATGATTTCTAAGATCCCTTTCAGCAATGAAGTTCTAAGATTTGGAATTCCTAAGAAGTTGCAGCTAACATATCCTGTTTAATATTTTACACATTAAAAACATCTCATTTTGTCTCAATCAGGTCAGCAAAAAAGATAAAATTATTTTGCATTTAAACACTCTACAGATTATGATCAAGGAAATAATTTTAAGTCTTCCCAAAGTGTTCGCTATTAGTGTTCTAGATATAATTTAATACTGCAACAAGAGCCATCTCGTCTGAAAGCTAGCATCAGCCATCAACTGTCCTTGCCCTGAATTACCTCTTTGTATTTTTGCAGCAACCCCAAAAAGTACAAGTTTAAAGATGAGGAAAATAAGCTTCATAAAGATTGTTATGGGGCGCCTGGGTGGCTCAGTGGGTTAAGCCGCTGCCTTCGGCTCAGGTCATGATCTCAGGGTCCTGGGATGGAGCCCCGCATCGGGCTCTCTGCTCAGCAGGGAGCCTGCTTCCTCCTCTCTCTCTACCTGCCTCTCTGCCTGCTTGTGATCTCTCTCTGTCAAATAAATAAAATCTTAAAAAAAAAAAAAAAAGATTAAGTTATTTAACTCACCTAAGGTCTTCCAGTTTGCTTCCCAAATAAACTGAATTAAAATGAATATTCATGGAAGATTATCTCAGTTTTACTTCCAAGTTTCTACATGACTCTGGATATATACTTTGTACTGATTCTCTTACTGGTTTTTAAAAAATGAAAACCAAGGAGGGTTTATTTAAAAGCTGACTGTAAGTACTGTTAAAGCTAACAGAGGTTTTATCTTTTTTTTTTCTTCCCAAAGGAAAAAGAATCATTAAAGAATTTCTTTACTTAATCTAAGAAGTAACCAAAAATGAAAAAAAAAAAAACCAACTAATAATTAAATTGAATGTAACAATTCCTTTTCTAACAGACCATCTTTTCACTTTCTGACCTGAGTAACTTTAATCTCTCTTCCTAAAGACAACTAGGAAGTTCAAAATAACTTTTTATGTATTTTTCCTTTCTTATTTATTATATTGTTTTTAATACCTGAAATTGATCCAACTCCAAACATAGGATATGAATGGATGAATTATTTTAACAGAGAAAATTATTTTCTTCATAATTAAAATGCACCAACTTGATGTACTCAGATTACTTTAGATGAGCACATTTGCATTCAGTAAATATTTCTAGTCTTTCTTCAATGACATTGTAATAGATTACTAGGTGCATAACAAAGAATGGCACAGAAACACATACAATGGCTCATTGTCTTCAATGATGACAACATTACTGGGATCTCTCCTGTATTTCTTCTTAAAAAAATAATTTCTCTAAAAAAGGGATAGGTGGAAAAGCATCTAGTGGGGAAAACTAACTGAAGTTTAGCTATAGGTATAAATTAAAATTAAGACAGATTTGAATATTTTCTGACATTGAAAAACTGAAAAAAGAGTCAGGACTGACATTGAGTGCCAAGAAAAACCAGGATCAGATTAAACATGTTTTGGATGAATCACAAAACTAATAATCCAAATCACTATCATCTGATCCAATCGTTCTAATCCTGATTATACATCAAAACCTATGAGGCTTACCAAATACAGATACTATACCAAACCCCAAATATACTAAATCAAAATCTACAAAGTTGGGGCCTAGACATCTGTGTTTTTAAAAAGCTCAAAAGGGGGTGCCTGGGTGGCTCAGTCAGTCATACAGATGTCTGCTTCAGTTCAGGTCACGATCGATCCCAGGGTCCTGGGATGGAGACAAATGCCAGGCTCTCTACTCAGCAGGGAGCCTGCTTCTCCCTCTCCTTGCTGTTCCCCCTGCTTGTACTTTCTCTCTCTCCATCAAATAAAATCTTTAAAAAAATAAAAAATTTAAAAGACAAATGTAGTAGATAATGGTTGTTCACCTTTTTCCCTAATCTGAATCCTGATTTAAAAAATGATCCATGCTGTCCCCATATATACCCCATGTGCCTCAGAGGAAGAGCATTCTAAACTCCTAGAGAACCAGCTGGACTAAGGATTATTCCATACCCTTTCCCAGTGACTAACTCAGGGATGGAGAGGTCTAAGCTCCTTTAAATCAATGAGACCCAAGGATTTGGTGGCAAATCCTGGGAAAGCTTTTGCATATTAAGAGAAGGCCCTTGGAATCCAGCCCGACTCCCCCACTGCATGTAAATGAAGATGCACGTGGCTCAAACTGCTACTGGCAATCATCCCATGACCACAAGGGTAGCCAGCCTTAGGATGATGCCAGTGCTGCGGTTGAAAATGGGAGGAAAAAAACTAGGGCTCTTGGTGATACCACTGAATCACTGGATCAGAACTACTAAAGCCCCATTCTATTAGCAGACTTCTGTATAATGATTCAATACACTTTATTAAGTCATTTTCAGTTGGATTTTCAGTCATTTGCATCTGAAAGCTCAAGTGGTCCCACCAAGGATAGCAGTCTTTGAACCATAACAATCTGTATTAAATAGAAACCACATAAACACCAATTCATATTTATTTAATCTACAAATGTCAGGCTTTTCCTTCCTATTTTAACAAGGAATGAATCTTCTAAAAAATAATTTATATGTGGTGATATTTTTCCAGTATTTGAGCTGAACTGTATTTAAAAGTTTGTATTCATGGCATCCACTTCATTATTTACTCAAAGTTTCGGCTATAGGCTTTATCTTGAATGTGTAAGACCATTCGCCGTGCATAGAAGTCCCTGTATTCCTCTGGTAATTCAGCCAGTGTTTTTAAAGCTCTGTCCAAAATTTGTGCAGCTCTTGATGCTGCTGTAGGATCTTTGTTTCCATAGGTATCTGTTTTGTCATAGCATTCAGATGGAAGGTGCTTCCAAAAGATATTCACTCCCACTCCAAACTCTTCAGAAATCACGTTATGGAACCATAAAGCTGGAGAAAGTTTAAAGAAAAAAAAAAGTTAAAAATAAAACCTAGAGTAAAAAAAAAAACAAACCCAAAATGTCAGCGAAATATCACAAATTGCATATAGCCAATGCAAAATTCTTGTAACTAGATCCCTTCGTTAGCACACTCCCAGCTTTTAACAGAATCATTTTAACTTTTATGAATTGCCAACCAATTTAAAGTGTCAATAACACAACCCTACTTTTAAAACCTTTGGAAACAGCAATTTTTCCTTTTAACTTGAAAGACATAATAAAGTTACATTTGTTTTGTAGTTCTGTAATTTGGGGCTATGTTTTGTGTTACTTGTTTACACTTCCTGAGTCATACAACCACATTAAAAATGTTTACTTTTTGTACACAGAACATTTCAATTATTTGAGGAGTATCTTTGACCTTTTCTGCCTCAGCACAATACTTTTGTTCTCAGATGTCCCATTCAAGCTGCATTTGGGTTTTTTTTTGTTTTTTTTTAAGATTTTATTAATTTATTCAACAGAGAAAGAGAGAGATCACAAGTAGGCAGAGAAGCAGGCAGAGAGAGGGGGAAGCAGGCTCCCTGCTGAGCAGAGAGCCTGATGTGGGGCTCGATCCCAGGACCCTGAGATCACGACCTGAGCTGAGGGTAGAGGCTTAACCCACTGAGCCACCCAGGCGCCCTTGCATTTGGTTTTCTAACTTGCTTAATTTTGCACTCATTGTAGCCTCCTTAGTTTTATACTTCTATTTGGAATGCAGTTATAAATGTCATATTTCTTTCGGCTCCTGTACAGTAAGTATATAAAACTAAAGCAAATATTTTGGTGGTGGAGAAGATGAATCAACTATCATATGATATAGCTAATTAATTCTTCACTTCCTCTAGAACGTTTATTTCTTTGTTTTCAATTGAGTCTAAATGTTTTCAGACTATAGGTGCTATAGGAATATGAAAGCACCATCACAATATAACCAAGACGAAATACTAGGAATGTAAATGGGGCACCGAGGTGGCTCAGTCCGTTAAGCATCTGGTCTGCCTTCTGTACTGTCATAATCTCAGGGTCCTGGGATGGAGCCCTGAGTGGGACTCCCTGCTCAGTGGGGAGTCTGCTTCTCCCTCTCCCTCTGCCCTCAAGCCTCAGTACTCTCTCTCAAATAAATAAATAAAATCTTAAAATACTAGTCACATCAAAAAATGTTTAATTTTATGAATGGGAAAAAGTAAGATTTACAAGATGCTAAATTTTAGAAACAAACTCATTCTAAGAGTGCTCTAGGAAAAACAAAAGCTTAAAATATTTTGATTTGCAAAACTAGTTTCAAACATGGATTTAATCTTAACTATTCTTTCAGAATCTTTTTCCTCATTCAACATAACATGAAAAAAGCTAACCATTCTGTTAAATTTAAATGCAAAGATGGGGGTTTTGCTTTTATTTCAAAATATATGCAAATGTTAAGTATTTCTGGCTTTTTTTTTTTTAAGTTTTATACAGAATAAGAGAAACTGCATAGCTCTTAACCATTCTCTGAAGATATGAAACCAAAAAATTTAAGCAATACTAATGGATTTAAAGACTAGTGTGTTGACTGTTTATAAAAAAATCAGAATAAGAAATTAATGTATCAAATTTTTATAGACAATCAATTATGTTAAAGACATTGTATCAGGCCCCTTGGAGAATACAAAGATTGCTAAAATACAGTTCCTTATCCTCAAGCAATTTATAATATAGCCCCAAATGGGATCATCATATTTTTATTAATACTTTTTTTCTTAATTCTGTCACTGAAAAAGAGGCATTTTTTCCCCTAAATTTTATTTATTCATTTGAAAGAGAGAGCACAAACAAAAGGGGGAGAGGCAGAGGGAGGAGAGGCAGACTCCCTGCTGAGCTAGAAGCCAGGTATGGGGCTCTATTCCAGGACTCTTAAGATCATGACCTGAGCCGAAGGCAGATGCTTATTCCATCTGAGCCACCCAGGTGAGGTATTAATGATTAAAAATGTATTAACTTAAATATGAGAAATGTGACTATACAAACAATTTGTTAACACATTCCTTTAATCTTAATTATGGTTTTTATAATCTTAAGGTATTCACTTTTGAATAATTACAGATGTTCATTACATCACTACTAAAAATGAATACCTAGTTATTGTACAAAGAAATTAAGTGATACTAATTCAAACCCTAGAAAATAATGCACACATAAGACATCATAGGTGTTGGGATTATAACAATTTGATATTTAATAAAATCTCTAATCTGTTTTGGCTTTGAAATACACTTACCATTTCTTGGCAAATACTTAAGTGACTTAGTTCTAAAATATGCAATTTTTTTTTTTTTTTTAAGATTTACTTATTTATTTTAGAGAGACAGAGAGAGGGAGGGGAAAGTCTTAAGCAGACTCTGTGCTGAGTGCAGAGCCCAATGTGAGGCTTAATCTCACAACCCTGAGATCAGGACCTGAGCCAAACAAGAGTTGGATGCTTAGCCCACTGTGCCACCCAATATACAAATATTTTAGAAATGATTAAAAAGAACAACAAGGTATAATCTTTTCCCAGTTATAAAATACCTTGTTTGATGTCATTTAACAACATAACTTAAGAGTATAATGTTATATTATAGATTGCTTTTGAAAAGCAAGATTGTTAATTTTATAAGAATTTGCTTAAGCAGGGCACCTGGGTGGCTCAGTGGGTTAAGCCTCTGCCTTCGGCTCAGGTCATGATCTCAGGTCCTGGGATCGAGCCCAGCATCGGGCTCTCTGCTCGGTGGGGAGCCTACTTTCCCCAGCCCCCGCCTGCCTCTGCCTGCTTGTGATCTCTGTCAAATAAATAAATAAAATCTTAAAAAAAAAAAAAAAAGAATTTGCTCAAGCATACTTTAAACACACATACACAGCTGTATATAAAAATCAACTTGTATAGGACAGAAAACATGTAACATACACTTCTGTACTCAAAAAATCATGTAATGGATGAGTGACAGAGCATAGATTTTATAAAAAGTAAATGAATGAGGTCTAGAAATCTTACCAGGAATGAATAATACATCTCCAGCTTTCAGGGAACATTCATACCTTCTAGCCTTGGAAAACAGTGGATATTTAGTTAAGTCTGGCTTATCTATATCCAGCACTTCTGATTTAGTACCTTAAAAGTTCCAAAAAAGAATAATATAGAGTAAGTAAAGTTAGCATTTCTTAAAAGGTAACCACAAATATAGACTTGAAAATGTATTCTTCTCTGTACCATTATTTATTGTATCCACAATGTAAGAACTGTTACTATTCTCCTGAAACCTAAGATGATTTTCAATGATCCATCCTTTATGACTGCTGACATTCATGTACTATAATTAAGAAAACCTGAAAATTTCATTGTTCATATAGCCTATCATTACATATGTACACATGGAGAACACAAATACTTCATTTAGAAAGAAGCCTTTAGATGTTTTTCTATGAAAATAAAGAGGTTTCCCAAAAAGTGTAACTGAACAGACTAGACTTCAGAAATACAAACCTAAAAGAGAAGTACCTGATAAATATAAATACTGGGCATCTCGAGGACTGAAGAGCACAACACGCTTTTTTCCTGTCACTTGTATTAAGAAGTTATCCATGACCTGAAGGACAATAAGAACTTACGGAGAAGCAATATCTAAAATTTAAATAAACAGAACCAATGGTATATTCCAAACAGTTAAATGTAAATCCTAGAGACTTGACTCACATTATCTAAAACACTTATACTAATATTCTAACAATGCAAACATTTGTACTGTAAATACAGCTGTACCTTTATTAAGGATGTTCCTGCAGCACCGCCTTAAAATGGAAAAGCCTGGCAAGCCATCAGGAAATCTGAGCACTATTTGCCCCTGCCCCACCACTCTGACACGGAGGCTCTCCTTGGTTAGTTCATACTCATCTATCAAGGAATGCTGTATAGCCAATATCAGGCAACAGACTGAAAGCACTTGGGAAATAACTACCTTTTCCCAAGGTAGTTAGACCTTGGGAAAACAACACAAGGTAACTGCTGTAATCAACCCTTAATTAAGTTAAAACTCTTTAAATATATATGGGCAACCATAATTTATTTGCAGGCATCTTCATTTCTAAATTATTTCTATAGGATTATAACCTGGCAAATTTTTCTTGATGTACTTATTAATGGAGTAATCTTAACTATTTCTGCACTTTGTGGAAAATGTTAAAAGGCAGAGATATGTAATTCTCAGCCAAGGAATTAAAATACATACTAAGCAAGATATATTCATAATTATTTACATATCACTTCTACCTAAGCAATTTTCAATACTAACCCTTTTCTTATGTAAACTTTAACTACATAACAAGCATTCCTTTGACTTATTTTTAATGTAAGAAAAGCTATATAGAATTCTATTATAAATCTAGATAAAAGTGATACTAGTTAAAATTTAAGTCACACAATACAATTAAAAATTTAAGTTACCACATCATTTTTTCACTATATCATTTATGTAAAACCTTTAAAAAATAAGTTAAGAATTTATGTTTATCTCATTTAATTAGTTATGATGTTAAAATCCTCCCAAGGGGTCCTCTGCTGAATTATAACATAAAACTTAATATAGCTTGATTTAGAGTTTTTTAAAAAATTATCTTTAGAAACCTATTAGGTATTGCTTTAGCTTCCTATACTCCTCTACCCAATACCAAACCATACACAATATTATACTTTTAATGTGTTCATAATATTTATATGCATATATTTAAGCAAGTAAAATTATAATACCATAGAGTAAATGATCAGGGGCAATATTCTATACATCTTCCTGCTCAACAAATACAGTGTACATTTCACATTCTCAAGGGATGTATAATCTAAGGCCATCAGAAATCCCCGAATTCTTATACCTGGAAATGGCTCTCCACAAACTTCTGCTTTCTCTTGAGTAACAGTTCCATCTAGTTACGTCTATCATTTCCACATCCTCATTGTCACAACCTTACTGCTTTTTCCACTTGTACAACTTTCCCCCTCATCTGATGGCCATTTTTCACATACTCAAAATCCGCTTCATAAAACTTAACACACACATGCACAAAATATAATAAATCAAGAACACTATCACAGAGCAATGCAAATGTGAGACACTAACTAGGCTACGGCATTAAATAATTTATTCCCATATCACCAACTTGCAGAGCCCCTGTTTTCAAATCTCATGTTTCAGCAAATTATGTCTGCAAGATCTTTAGGGTAATCTACAGAAAGTTGAAACTGTAAATGCTATGTCTCTAAAGACTAAATATCTACTGTAGCTTCAGATTTCTCATTAATGTAGCATACATCATAGTGGGTCCAAAGTTGTAATCCTGGTGAGCTAATTCGAAAAACACTGGAGAAGAACTGCTCCTCCTTGAAAAATTTTGGAAACTTAATATCTCCTTCCAGCAAAGGAAACTGCTTTCTGATATCTGCAACATCCTGCATTGAAAGAAACATGGTAAGAATTTTAACAATAATTGCAATTTTAATGTTAATAATAAATGCAATATTTATGTAATGCTTGTTTTATCTCAGACTGCCATCAGATCCCATGGTATTAAGGAGGAATGGGGTAAAACTCTGTTCACTGCTGTAAAATACTAGTAAGGGACCACAGTCAACACATGAGCTTTCAAATGAAGGAATAACAGACCAAGCAGCAGGCTGCAGACTCAACGCCATCAGGACCGTTAAGCTTAACATGCTTCTTTAATAGGTTCTTCCTATTTAGACAACAATCATACACTTGCCATCTACTCCAATAACAAGGATTTAAAATTTAGCAGTCAACAATCTGAACGTTATCAACTATGTTAAACCTGTGGATTTTACCGAGGGAAGAGGCTAAAAGAAGTTAAAGAACTAAATGGAGACAGAAAAAGGAAAAAACAGAATCTCACTTAATCATTTTAGGGACCATTCCCTAACACCGCACCATATTAATATGACTCTGAATACATGTCAAAGCTTGTATTAGTAAATTATTCAGTATTTTAATAATTAATTTAGATTATATTTTATTAGCTGAATGGCTATCTGTAAAATATAGTAGAAAGGATTTTTTGTGTTGAGACTAGAGGAGATGACTTTAAACACTAAGATACTATGGTCCTACTTAAAAACTAATCAACTTTTAATAATTTTACTTCTTTTCTTCTTTTAAAGATTCACTTACTTATTTTAGAGAGAGAGCGAGCATACACGCATGCAAGCAGGGGAGGGGCAGAGGAAGGGCAGAGAGAGAGGGGGAAAATCCTCAAGCAGACTCACTGCAGAGTGCAGAGCCTGACTCAGGGCTTGATCCCAGGACCCTGAGATCATAACCTGAGTCAAAATCAAGAATTGGCCACTCAGCTGACTGAACTACTAAGGCACCCGCTAATAACTTTACTTCTTATTCAGGGGCAGAAATCATTGAGAAAAGAATGGGAAAAAGAAGAAACAGGTCATATGTCAGGCAGTAAGTATAAAAACCACAGTGCCAGTTTAAATATATACATCCATTAGGTTTTAAGCCTTTGTTTTACATTCAGAATTCTTACCTTTCTAGGGTCTTCCCCAAGCGACCGTAGGTAGTACTTCTCATCCTTAAACACCCGAAAGAAAAGTAACATAAATATTCATGTAAAAATAATAGAAAGTAAAGACAGAGGAAATGAGTTTTAAAATCTAACCCAGTTGTTTTTGAAACAGTTCCGTCTTCTTACCCTTTCTACTAATGCTCTCTGGTGGCCATGTGAAGAAATGTCTTTATAGGCTGTGTGTAATAATGACTGGATCCATAAAATATTACATAAATATGAAAGGCAACACACACCTACTATATCTAAAACGCAATGCTTAATTTGCACTTTAAATTATTTAGACTCTTAACAGCAAGTCTTAAAAGAATTCTCATTTGTAAAACATACATGATCTCAAGGTATTGTTGAGGTCAATAACAAACTTGTTAATATAATGCAAATGTAGAATAGATGATAAATAAAATAATTATACTTTCAGTAATACATTTTTTTAAAAATCTGGAACACTGCATTTTACCAAATTAAGCCTACCATGGACATATAAATTCTCAAGCCAAATCCTTTACAGTCTGCTCATGTATGAATCAGAAATATGTCATTTCAAAAAAAAAAAGTCATTTCAGAGTAGTACATTTATGTTGATACTTGAATTGAAAAAACTGCCCATTGACCTTCACTGAGTAGTTATAAGAGGGAACTGTTTGAATTATAAAGCACTACTGTTGTTTGCATTTCCTCTAAGAAACAGGAGAACTGAGATGCTGGGTCAAGCACAAGGGCAATCCAACTCAAGAATTCTGCCTCTTTTATACCTACACTGACCACTATAACACAACATTCAAAAAAATCCATGTTATTTACTTTAACAACATATTATAAATCTATGACCAAAAATTTAACTCTATTCTCAGATCCAGTGTTTTTCTATTTTTAAGCAGTACCAGATAATTTCTATAAATTCATTATTGGCTAAATAGGTTTCAAAGTATGTTCTTCAAAATTCTAAAAGTTTTCTACCAGTTCTAACATTTCAGGATTGGAAAAAAAAAAAAAAAAAAGACTCATGAGGTGCACTGCTCAGAACCCCTTCAAGAAAGAATTCATCTCTAGCTGCAAAGAGTGTGATTATCTTCTGGCTGCCAGCTCTTAATTCTTCCAGGTCCACCTCAGCCTTTCAAGAGCCTTTCAAGGCTCTTCTTGGGGCAGCCCCAACCGCTGACTGAGCAAGATGTGAAAGGCTTAGACACTGCCACCCACACGAGACTCCTCTAACAGGCAGCCTTTGCTTAGGAGTTCCAGCGTGAGCTGGCAGAGTCCATCGATCTTGGTCACCGTCTGACGGCTTCCCCCTACCCAATCCCCCCCTTTCCTTTCAGAGGTATTATTCTCCAACAAACCTATCGGCACTCCTAATTCCATCTTAACACCTGCTTCCTGGAAGACTGAACTGACAGTCTATGTTCATCTTATTGACATACTTCCATCATTTTAAGATGTAAATATACATGTATAGTCAGCTGCCCTTTGGAACTTTCCTGTCCAAGGGTAATGTAATGAGCAGCACAGATTTAAAGAGCCATGAGATGTCAAGTGAAGTAAAAGAAACAAGAGACACAAGATAAAGGATTTATGTCTAAAGATTATGGAAAGTATATAAAAGAATATACACTGTTAGTTCAGGTATCTGCTTAACTGATTCCATTAACTCTGTGAGTTAATCTAATCATACCACAGAATCACATCTTCGTGGTCATCTAGTGTAACCACTACCTGTTGAGACAACTAGGAGCAGGCAGCACCTGTCACTACCAAACTGGCCACCAGCCCAGCTGGCTCAAACGCAGACAACGGCTTTATTCAAAGCTTGAAAAGCAGTTCATTTTTAAAATGTGCTTTTGAGATAACAGTGAATTTTTTAAAAATATATATATATAAGCCTCAATGGTTTTTTTTTGTTTTTGTTTTTTAAAGATTTTATTTATTTATTTGACAGGCAGAGATCACAAGTAGGCAGAGAGGCAGGCAGAGAGAGAGAGGGGGAAGCAGGCTCTCCGCTGAGCAGAGAGCCCGACGCGGGGCTCGATCCCAGGACCCCGGGATCGTGACCTGAGCCGAAGGCAGAGGCTTTAACCCACTGAGCCACCCAGGCGCCCCAAGCCTCAATGTTTTATCTCAAGCTATTTAAATTGAATTATTTAAAACTGGATTATAATGTAAATAAATAGAATTCTTCTGCATTTAATCCTGAACAAATATCATAACAAATACAACAGAAGTCACATTGATAATAACAATAATAAAATATAAAAGTAGTCTGATGGTCAATAAGATATGAAAATAAAGTTCTTTGGCATTTGAACTTTGCACATCAGACCAAAGCATTTTCTTTCCTTTTTTTTTTTTTTTTTTTTTTTTTACGGCGAAAGTGCACAAGCAGGGGGAGCAACAGGCAGAGGTAGAGGAAGAAGCAGGCTCCTTGCTGAGTAGGGAGCTCAATGCAAGTCTCAATCCCAGGACCCCAGGATCGTGACCTGAGCCGAAGGCCGCCGCTTAACTGACTGAGCCACCCAGGCACCCCAGAACAAAGCATATTCAAAGAAAGTATGATTAATCGCTAACATTTAGGGAGTAGTTTCTACATGTCAGGCATTGTGCTAAGTACTCTACAGATTTTATTTAACTGTCACAGAAACCTTATTAAATAGGTACTTTAACTGTTCCCATTTTATAGGTGAGTATACTGAGGCACAGAAAAATAATTTGGCCAAGTTTGAGATCTAATAAATAGCAAGACTAGATCTACTGGCATACAAAACCAAACCTTAAAAATAGAAGGCTACAGCTCTTTTATATCTAATATTCTTGTATAAGAAAATCCACCTAATATGTACATATTAATGTTTTCTAAAGAAAATAGGTTCAAATCAGTTACCTCTGAAATAAAGAATTCTTCATGCTTTTCTTCAGCTGCCCTCTGAACCAACTTATCAAAAGGTAAAGTTCTGAAATAAAGACAAAGAAGCCTTGGACTCAATAAATCAACTAGTAAATACCCTTATCACTATACATATAGGCTTGTCGCAGTTGTATATGTTTTGCTGTTTTATAATGGCTGTCATTTTATCATAACCTATTATGTGGGATTCTAAATTTTCAAAATTCTTTTAGGTCCTTTCTATTTGACCTAGATTGTCTAAAATTACAATTTTATCATAACCTATTATGTGGAATTCTAAATTTTAAAAATTCATTTAGGTCCTTTCTATTTGACCTAGATTGTCTAAAATTACAATTTCAAAAATTAAGGACTTTTAAATCTATGCGACAGATGAATCCTTCTTATGTCAATACTCTCCTATTCCAAGTTACTGTTAGAAAAATATTTCTGTGGTATCCGCTTACCTCTGGATATACAAACTTTCAAATGTGCTACTTCAAGTGTCATGGCAAAACAAGTCTTGTGACTGTGGAATGGGACAAACTACAAAGTGCCCCTTTGGAAGAGACCCCAGGCAAATGGTCCAGAGAGATCAAGTCCTCACTATCTCACTCATCTTCCTGCCTTTTGGCACTACCAGTGGAAACAGAAGCTCACAGCACTGCTCTCACTCTCCTTCACCACTCTGTCATTTGAAGTCTTAGGAATACCTCAAGGAGAATTCAGGGAAGTGACCAAGTTTTATTCTTCTTCATTATTTCTGTTCAAATGGCTATCTCCTTCCCTTGTGGTAAACAGGGCTGAACATCACATAAGCAGTCGTTTCCTTTTATGTCACTCTTGAGCCTGGAGGGCTACCATTTTTCTGGTTCCCATCCTGTCCCTTCACCATCCTAGAAGCAAAAGTAGGGACCCTGACATGAAGTTGGTAATAGTAACATCAAGACAATGACCTCCTAAAAAGCATCTGGGTCAAAAGCCTCTCCCCCTAAGCCTCACTGCACTCCAGCCTCCAAACCTCTGATTAAGAGTAGAAGTCTTTTCTCTTTTTTTTCTTTTTCTTTTCACTCTTACCACCAAGTATCTTTCCACTTGAACTCTGTACCGAGGAAGTGGGAAGAAAAGGTTAGCAAAAACCCTTTCTCCTCTGTAAGAAGATGACCTTGGGCTTACCTTTTCCTAGCAATGCTTTTGTAGAAACCTGCTGGGTTAAGATAAATCTAGAGTGTCACCTGTGATATCAGTTAACATTGTTTGTTGTAAAAAATGACCCCTGATTGATGAACTATGTCTAAACTGAAAGGCTGATGCGTGGATTATAACTATTTGTTAAGAAGGGAAAGATATGGCTTCCCTGTGTGGTGTAACTCTTGTCATTGAGTTTCTCCCTTGGAGGAACCTAGAAACTAAATTTCATGGGCCACTTCATGTCATTGGTTTCTATGGACTAGGTGGCTTAATTTAGCCAAGGTGTTTCTATACCCATCTTTATAGTCATGTTCCCTTGCAAGTAAGCTGTCACTTGGTGAACCCAAAAAAATGGCTCCTGGATTGGTGTAAGGACTCCCACTGATACTATACTGCTAAAATGTGGATTCCTGTGTAAAGCTAAGTGAATCTGTTGCCAGATTATGGACTAGTGGGTCCTGTGGGCATGAATGTCAATCTGAACTTGAGGACACTGCTGATGATTATGTGTAAGAGTGAGCACTGCAAGAGAGAAGAAAGGAGTCTGCCACCTGAAGACCAATTTGCTGCTACAGTTTCTAGTTAATTATATCAACAAATTTACTTGGCATCCTCCTATGCAATGTTTTCCATCTCTTACCTCATCACAAACCCTTCATTCCTACTAAAGCAACTCTGAAGAGTTTGGGGAAAATATGGAAGCCTCTCCGGTCCAGAGATATCCCTTATTTGGTGCAGTTGTCTCGGCTTATCTTTGTACTAGATACTACTTGAAAACTCTAAAGTGTTTCAAGACCTTTCTAAGAACAGGGCAGATAGAGTAACTCAACCCAGAGAAGCAGAACTTGAGTGCTCTCAGCAGTTTTTTCCCTTGGGTAATGGCGCCTGTCAGAGCTGTAGAAGCAAAGCTAAGAGAAGAGGAAATGAGGTAGGAATTAGGAATTCCTTAGACTCAAGGATTTAATCTATCCCATGCATGTTTCAAAAAGAAGGACATTTGCCATGTAAGTTCCATCCGTCTGGACTGGTAAACAGACCAGTAAGAGAGGTAGTATCAAAGAAGGGGTTAGGATCATGGGTTCTGTGGAGTCAGGCTAATTTGGGTACAAATCTGGTTCCATTATTTCAAGCCGTATGGTCTTGGGTAAGTTACTTAATGTTTTTAAGCCTCTATTTTCTCGATTGTATAATTATTGAAAACAAAACAAACAAACAAAAAACTACCTCACAGACTTTCTAAATTAAATGACTAATATATGATCTAGGATGCACGGCACAGTACTTGGTATATAGTAAGCGCTCAGTAAAGGACAAGTGGTGGGGTTAATAACAATGGTAATATACCCTTCAGCAGGACAAAAGTAGTTACCAACATTAAGAAAAAGAAAAAAAAATCTCACACGGTCCTGTTTCTCATTTGCAAAGGCTGCTTTAATAAAAGTATAATAAATAATAAGAGCAGGATGATGAAAGGGATTAGATGATGTGATAGACAGAAGCAATTAAAGCTGTAAGAGTCAAACTGATTTATTTCTTTAGATCTATGACCTAAATACTAATACCAACAGTATTCTTACCGCACAATACTCTCACGCATAGTACCCCGGTTCTGAGAGCCACCAAGAAGAAAGAAGTAAAAGCTAAGACCTGGAAATGTATTGCTCTTCAAATATTTAAGTAAGCAGAAATGCAACCTGGAACTGAAGTGATAACAATGATTTATGTGTGTAGGAGGATTTCTTCCTTCTAGACCCTTTCTGACCTAGATGCCTCCCTTCTTTCCTACTCCCTGGTAACTGCCAACAATGACTAAATCTATTTTTTTTCTTGCACTAAGAAAATAATCTTGCAACTCTTCAGTAGCTCCAGTGAAAGGCTTGAAGAAAGCTGGGATAGGAACTATTACATAATATATGTGATTCAAAAACAAGTTTTGAAAAGTTTATGGAACATGACAAAACAGCAAAGCAATTCAAGATGAAGTTTCAATACCCATTTGTTATGGCTTTGGACTCTCTGGAAAATAAACATCATTAACTGCTGGCTTAAAAATGTTCACCATTCCAGCACTTTCTTCCACCTTTTTGATTTAATAAAAAATGAAAAGTTCTTACACTTAGAAAAACTTACGGCAATTAAATTCAATTCACGGCCTATTAAAAACCAAAACTATAATGGTGAATATTCAAAGGATCAAAAACCAAGAAATACTTTGGCAAGCTGCTATATGAGCCTGGAAAACTCTAATGAGAAAGGAATGGCTCTGGACATTAGAAGCTCTGTTTAACTCATCTCTAAACTCTGGAACGAACAGTGAGAACCACCTTTCTTTAAAAATCACTCTTTTGTGAACTACATGGTTTTTCAATAGACTGAATTTGCTGGAAACTGCACATGCCCAGAATATAATTTGTTTTTTAGCATTTTTAATGAAACATGGGAATAAATAACGTATTTATAAGATTACAACATTTAAAACTTTCAAGGTTGGACATTCAGCAGTGTTTAACTATCTTTTTTACTTTTAAGACATCCCAAAGCATAAAATGACAACCACAAGGGAAATTAAAAGTATTAAAGGTTATTTTGTCAAAAGAGAAAATTTAGTGTGATTTTTTTTCCAAAGCTTTGAAGTTGATGAAAAACTGTATCAAACATAACAACTACCTGTCCTTTATTTCTGAAGAGGGCAGAAAAAGAAAACATGGCTTATGTATCTGTCACAATTATGAATTAGAAAATCTTCTAAAAATAAGAGCATTAAAAATCAGAATAGGTTATGAGGGAAAACTTTAGAGTTCATTACTCTATAACAATTACTAATGAGGTCAGATCTATTAATTAGTGAAGCAGGAGTGAGGATAGCACACCCAATGTTAGAGGCACTCTAACTCCAGTTACAGAAATCCAGTTCCTTCCATAGCTCCAGAAGTTATAAGCCAAATACCCTATTTGAAAAAAATGGTCTTTGAAAATGTCTTTCTGTAACTGTGTGAACTCAGAATTCGTGTCTTTTAAAAGCTATTCTTTAAAATTACAAAGCTATTCTGTGACGATATCAAAGTAGCCAAAAGGGGAAATGCCATACAGTCTTTGTAAAATAACACAAAAATATCTGCAAGGTTCAAAAATAAGTTACTTGTAGTCCCAGAGTAAACCTCAGAAGAAAATACCTATACACAAAGTTCTTACTAATGAAGTCCATCTGGGCAACCGCGGCGACATGAATCTTTACTTCTTTTCTCCCTCCAACCTGGCTCAGGTAATCCACTGTCCATTTGCTTGTACATGCCCCCAAGTCAATTCCTTCCAACACCAGGGGTTTTCTCTGTAAGTGGGGAACAGCATTCAACAAAAAATTAGGGAAAATGAACAATATATCCGGAATTATATTTATATTATATTATATATTAATTATATTATTTGGCCATAGAAGGACAAAAACAATTAAGAAATTATTCTTGATCCTAAAACACTCAAACTCACACCTTTCGACAATGCATGCTATAGAGCAGGAGAACAGCAATGTAATAAACTTGGAATGAAACTTTAACATTAGGAAAACAAACTAAATGAAACAGCAGTACCATCAGTAGCTGAGAACCAGAAATCTGAACATTAGTTAAAGCATTTCAGGGTAGCTGGGTGCCTCAGTCGGTTGAGCATCTGACTAGTGGTTTCAGCTCAGGTCATAATCTCATGGGTCATGGGATTGAGGCCCACGTCTGGGCTCAAGTGCTCAAGGGGGAGTCTGCTCAAGATTCTCTTTCTCCCTCTGCTCTCCCCACCCTCACACTTACTCTCTCTCAATTCAGTCAACCTTTAAAAAAAAAAAAAAAGGCATTTCCACAAGTGTTATTTATGACAAAATATAAATAATGATTAAAATTTGTATTTTATAGTCAAATACTGTTCGTAATTTTTTATTTTGATACTATTTCAAAGTTGTGGAAAGTTGCAAGAATCCCCATATACCCTTTACTCTGGTTCACCAACTGTTAATTTAACATTTGCCCCATTTACTTTATAATTTGCTCTCACTCTCACTATGTGTGCATAGAGAGGAACATAGTACTAAAAATAATTAAATTTTTTCTTAACTAATTCTAAGTTGCAGACATACTCCTTTATCTCCAAAAACTGAAGCATATTTCCTGAAAAAAAAAAAGACCTTTTCTTACATAGCCACAGAGTAATTATCAAAATTACATTTAGCACTGATGTAATACTACAACTTCACAGTCCATACCCAAATTTTCCTAACTACCCTAATATTATTCCTTATAGTGTTTTTCCCCCTATTTCTGAGATATCACATTGCATTTAGTTGCCATGTCTCAATCTGAACAGTTCCTCAGCCGCCTTCTTCCATGATCTTGATGTTTTTGAAAAATATAGACCAGTTATTTTGTAGGATGTCCTTCAATTTCGGTTTATCTGATGTTTTTTCATGATTGGATTCAGGTTATGCATTTTTATTTTTATTTATTTTCCCCAAAGATTTTATTTATTTATTCGACAGAGAGAGAGACAGCAAGAGAGGGAATACAAGCAGGGGGAGTGGGAAAGGGAGAAGCAGGCTTCCTGCCAAGCAGGGAGCCTGATGCGGGGCTCAATCCCAGGACCCTGGGATCATGACCTGAGCTGAAGGCACACGCTTAACCACTGAGCCACCCAGATGCCCCTGGGTAATGCATTTTTAGAAGGAATGTACCACAAGAAGCAATGTTGTATCCATCTCAGTGTAACACATCAGGTAGCACACGATGTTTTGCCCTATTATTTATGGTATTAATTTTGATCAACTGGTAATTCATTCCTGAATTAAGTATTATGATGGAGGCAAAAATTATGATTTTTAAAAACTCCATCATCATCTACATTAATTGGCTAACGTCAAAACGAACTAATTTATCTCCACCTATTAATTTTATTCACTTGGTTATAATCTACTGATATAATTTTGATGCTCGAATTATCTTATATTTGGCCAGGAGGATCCAAATCAAGCTGGCTCTTGTGACTTTTTACCTTAACACTTCCTTATTTTATAGCAAAAAAACCCCACAATCCAGAATCCTTTTATACTCTTTCATTCCCAGCTCCACAGTCATTTCTTCAAGCAGCTCTGGTTTCTTTTAAAGGTAATGCTACTTAGAAACCATGATCTGGGTGTTAGAGGTGTTCATTGCTATTGAGGTTATCATTACTACCAGGCCTTCTCAGTGGACAGAGCTAGGAAATATGTGCAAGTCTGTATACTCATCCCCCCTTTTCCCAAATATGCGTGCGTGTGCATGAGCACAGCCCCTCACCCCACCTATTTATATGTATCATATAGCTACCGTTATCTATTTATCTCTCTCTCCAAGCACACATATATACTACACACACACACACACACACACACACACACACACACACACAATGGATATACGTATGAATGAACCATAATACTTCTAATACTGATACCTCAATTCCGATCTTATATCACAAGACTCATCTTAATTTTTGCTTATATATTTGTAACCCTTTTCTCTTAATGAGAAACCTCACTCCTATCAATGATTCATCTTTAATTAATTAAATTGCATAAATTCACAGTAAGTACTTTTAGAATTGCTAAGTCACGCCACTATAAAAAGCAAGTCTATTAACTAGAGCTCAGTGTTTGTTTAATATGTTTGTTTAATATGTAAAAGTGACTTGGGTTTCTTATCTTCCTCCGAGTTTTGGGTTTTTCAATCATCCTTACCCTTGCTAATTTTATTATTACTATTACTTTAGAAGGTAAAACATTAATGGGATCCCAAAAGTTGAAACTATACAAAAGGGTCACCACAGCCACATTCTTCTATCCCATATTCACTCATCCACTGTAGTTAACCAGTCTCATTTCCGGCTTATCATTCCTGTTTTTTTTGTTTTTTGTTTTTTTTTTCAAAGAGACCAAAAACATATATACTTCTTTGTTTCCCCTTGTTTCACAAAAAGGTGACATGTTACATATTTTCTTTTGCAATTTGATTTTTTAATTTAAAAACATACCCTGGAAATCACTGCTATCAGTTAAGCTAATCTCCCTCATTCTTTTTTACAGCTTTGTATACCATGTGTAATGAGTAATTTAATCAATCACTCTCCTACGCATAGTTTTTTTTTAGGTTATTTGCAATAATCATCAAAGTAAACTCCTAAAAGGATGGCTGGATCATAAACATATACACAGTCTCATTAGATATGCCAAATTCCCCTCCACAAGGGTTGTACCACTTGGCATAAAGTGTGAGAGTGCCAGTTCCTTCACAGCCTCACCAAGAGTAGTATTACTAAAAATCAGCCTTTTGATTTTTTGCCAATGATGGATAAGAAATGGCACATCAGTGTGGCCTGAAGTTCTCTTATTAGGAAGGTTGAACATCTTTTCATGTTTATAGGCCATTTGATTTTTTTTTTTTTTTTTTTTTTTTTTGTCGACTGCTCACATTTTATCAGATTTTTGGCCTTTCACACCCCACCCTGTATTTTTAAAAATTTCTTAAATACACGGGCTTTTATGGCCCTTTTATGAAACATGTTGTCAATATTTTTTCCCAGCTTGTATTTTATGTATTCAAATGTTAATCTTTTACTACATCTGAATTTTCATAGTTAGAAAGCCCTTTCACAGGCCCACAATATAGAAGAATTTACCCGTGTTTTCTTCTAGTACTGTGTAGTTTTTTTTATATTTGTTTCTCTGATCCATTTAGAGATTACTCTTGCATATGGTGTCAGATATAAATCTAATTTTATCATTTTTTCAATGACAATCCAGTTGCCCCAGCATCATTCATTTAAAAATTCCTCTGCTCCAGTGATTCTGAACATCTCACGTTCATCACATACTTAAATCTTTATTTCTGGATATATGTAGATCTCCAGACTTTTGGTTTTATTTCTCTGGTCTATCTACTCATGCACGTATTATCACACTGTTAATTATTAAAACATGTTAAAAATATGAAGACTATGTCCCCTCGTAGATTTTCTTTAGTGTTTCCAAGTAGACAGATCTTGTTTTCCCATTTCATTAATTTCTAATTTTACTACATTGTGACAAGAGTGTTGTCTGCAATTTTCCAGTTTATGAAACTCTGTGATGCAACAACAGACCATCCAGCATTAGATCCACAAATAAATGAAGGCTTAGATCCTCTCTGTAGGTTGCCAACTCCTGAAAGAAAAAACTTCATTCCTGCTTCTTTAATACTGAGAACTGTACTCTTACTTGTAAATACCAAGTAAAATTGCGGGGAGAGAGGAGAGATCAACCGTAAGCATACCAACTATATCCTTGTGGATTATTTTTTCTTTAAATACCTGCTGGGCTATTTAGTCTCAGTTTCTCTCAAGTATGGGTTCCCTTACAAAGCAGTGCAAGGAGAAAGATTTCTCTTTAATATTTTCCTCTTGAGTATTCTCGAAAAGAACAAAGGTTCGAATTGCACAAATAAGAGCTTCCAGTGCCTGAACTAGAACCCAGGTTAGTTAGAATCCAAGACAGGTGGAAGTTTCCTGAGGGATTCCCACTGCTCCCCCTTTAGCTCAGGGCAGTGAAAAACTGCTCTTCTGAATCCAACAACTCGAAGAGACTAACAGGCACCTTTTGCGCCACCAGCGGGGCGGTGAAACCTCCTCTAAACTTCAGGAAACCCGAAACAAGATGGGTGGGGGTGGGGAAGCTCCCTTCGTTGCCATGGTAACGGAAAGAGCGTCATAGAGTCCCAGAGAGGCCACTCTTCGCAGTGAGCAAGCCGCTTCTCGCACTCAGGTCTCCGCTGTCATCCTGCTCCCCACAAACGTGGAGCTGTTCTCTCTGGAAAACTCAGCAGATGAGCCATTCGTCATCCCCCATGCGCCCTCTCCCCTAGCCACAGAGCCAACCAACCTTCCTCAGCCGCCCGCTGCCTCCTCCCCATACTCTGGGTCTCAAGAAACCAACCTAGAGCCGCCCAGGTGGTAGAGAGGGGCTCACCTGTGGGTAGAGGTGCTGCACGAACTGTTCCTGCGAAACGCCCTCAAGCCGAGGCACCGGGATACTCTGCCAGGCCATGGTGGCTCGCGCCAGTCCTCTTCCAAGTCCGGGAAACCCTGGCCTGACGCGTCCCTCAGAATACCGTCCGCCCGGAAACACGAGCCGGAGAGAAAAGGCCCGTGGCAGCGGCGGACGCGCGAGCGTGGCCGGTCGGAGAGCGAGACTGGGGGCTAAAAGGCCTCTACGTGAGCGGCGTGCTGCGGGGCGGAATGGGGCCGACTCACCAGAGGTGGCAGCAGCAGGGCAGCTTTACTCACCGGTCTCTCTCCCCGGATGCTGCGCTGCTGGTTTCCCGCCGGCTTTAATTCGACACAGCACAGACGGGGACTGGGGTGAAAAGTCATAAAAATGGCGCTGGCCGTGCGTCTTTTGCCCCGCTTTCTGCTCTATCCGCCTCTGCCCGGCGGGGCCGCTCGACCCCTGACTCGCGGTGTAGCCGAAGTGGGGCCGCGGTTGGCTGGACTCTGCTGCTTCTGCCGCCGCCGCCTCGGCTCCGGAGCGGCCCCATTTCCTCGCGTCACTTGGGCCTCGGCGCTGCTCGCTCGCGGCTCTCCGCGGCCCCTGCTCAGCCCTCCGGGACCCCCCGCCGCCCTCTCCGTCTTCCCTGCCTACCCTCGGCGCCGCTACAGCGCGGAGGAGCCGCCCCAGCCGCGCCAGAAAACCAAGATGATCATTCTGGGCTTCTCCAACCCCATCAACTGGGTTCGGACTCGAATTTACGCCTTCCTAATCTGGGCCTATTTCGACCAAGAGTTCAGCATCGCAGAATTCTCTGAGGGAGCGAAGCAGGTTTGTTTCTTGACTTGGGGTTGACCCGTTAGCCTCTCAGGCATTCGGCTGTTACCACGCAGGAAGTCTTGAGCGAAGAGTTTTCCTCCCTGGGTACCGGGTCATCCAACGTGGGTAGTGACCCAGGCACCGAGCCCCCTGGCTGCTTCTGGACTTGAATTAAGCTTCAGCCTGTTTGCATGGTCGCCGACGGGGAGGGGTTCGGAGGAGACACCAGGGTCAAGTCCCCCAGTTTCTTTTTCCGCTCTGCAGGTTTTGAATTCGATAGAAAAGGATTCGACTCAAAGCCCGTTTTCTGCCACTTTAAAGCTTCATGGCTTTGTCTTTTCTGAGTGTGATTTTCTGCAGAATTAAGACAGTGCCTGGCACACAGTAGACACTACACAAATTATTGAATGAATGAATGAGTAGATAAGATTATTTCGAAGAGTAAACCAGTATAGTATTTTCCTAGTGCAATAATGTAATTTTGGTAGAAAAACGAAACTTCCGGCTAGCTGTTTGATGGAGCTTCCTTGCCCCTCTCCCTACCCTGCAACCCCTCCCTATCATCCTCTTTAAACAATAACCTAGAGCGAAGCAGTTTTACCTTTTCCAAGAATTTGCTGAGACAACCTGGTCGCTGATAAGCGCACAGCGCCCTGCGCACCGAGAAGTTTAAGCCCTGTCTGTTCTGTTTCTTTCCGAGTGACTGGTAATACCCTGTCTGACCCTTGTCACACAGTGGTCACTTTGGGCCCTAAGATTGCTCATGGATTTTGTGTGCACATGCATTTTTCTAGGATGAAAGTGCATCTATACATTTCTTTTGAATCCCTTTGAGGGTTTGTCATTCCCAAGCGTTTCAGAACAGGTGATAAATAGAAGTCGTGGTTTGTTTCCCAGTTCGTACTGCCATATACCTTACACTTACGCTATTAGTGGGATCATTTCGCAATACCGATACATTTGTTCCTAATTTATTCAGATTATTTCTGTAAACTACAGCCATTTATATTTATTTGTGTGACCCATCAATCGTAAATCATTTCCAACTTTATATAATCCGTGTCGATATTAACCCCTGGTTCCTGCTTCCCTGAGTCAACTCTTGACTGCTTTATGTGTTTATAAAAAAATTAAAAAGCAAACGCCAAGCTTGACTTACAGCATTATAAGAGGTAAACCTCTGCTCATATCAGTTCTCAAAATCTTTTGTTCATGCAGAGGTCAAGTGGCACGATTTTACTCTCCTCTGCAGTGCTCACTGATGATATGTGAGTTTGTCTGCCTCATAACATTGTATAACTGTACCAGCTCATTGATACCAGTAAGGAATGAAATCCTCTCCCCAGACTCAGTGGGGGATGCATGGAACACTTTTTAGCCACTCTCTCATCCTGTTTCCCCTGTTAGCTATTTTAGCCCTCCTCCTTGCTATGAAGTATCTCCACCCCCTAATCAGCCAGTCTGTAAACAATTTTTGCCTCATCGAAGTCAGTTTTTGTGCATTCAACCACTGTTATTTTCAAAAGCAATATTGGGTCATCCATGGCAAATCAATTCCCTTAAACCACTGGTTACTTAACATTCCTTTTATATCAAGCAAATTAGTTCTTCAACACCTAAGATTTAAAAGGACATGGCAAAAAAATCTTCTCCCTCCTAGATCTCTTAGTGCAACTGTATCTTTTTTTTTTTTACATGGGTTACATACATACATACATAATTCTAGGGCTTGGGAATAATCTGGTGCAAAAACATTAGCTAGTTCATCTCCTCTCATGGGCTCCACTTGCCCTTTCTCCTTAAGCTAACCTCCCAGCAATAAAATCTTATCTTGGGTTATGAATATCAAGTGATCATTAGATCATTTTCATTCAGGTCTTTTTTTTTTTTTACATCAGAGAACATGAAAACAAAAAGGCATCTTAAGGGTCATGATTCTAGTCTAACTCTCCTTTGCCAATGACAAAACAGTGGCTCAAGGATGCATTGTAAGCCCTGTGCTGTGACCCAGTCTACAAGCAGTCTTGGTCCTTCAGTCACTAGAAATTGAGATGGTTAAGTACAATCTAGTCAAGTTTTGATTCATTACATCAGCCAAGGGAATAGGTGATCCAATGCTAAGCTTTATTAGCGCCATAGACCCTGCTTTTCATTAATATGTACACATAACAGGGGGCGCCTGGGTGGCTCAGTGGGTTAAAGCCTCTGCCTTTGGCTCAGGTCACGATCCCAGAGTCCTGGGATCGAGCCCCACCTCGGGCGCTCCGCTCAGGAGGGAGCCTGCTTCCTCCTTTCTCTCTCTGCCTGCCTCTCTGCTTACTTGTGATCTCTGTCTGTCAAATAAATAAAATCTTAAAAAAAAAATGTACATACAACATGATATCTTCCCTATTACTGCCAATAAACCACGTTAGTCATATACTGTATGTTTTCTTATATATCTTGTTTGTAAGTTTTTAGCCTTTTCTATGAAAAAGGGCTATTTCCTAGAAGACTCTCGAGGTTAGACACTCCTGTGTCATCAAGGCCTACCTCATCAAGGCATTCTACAGCAGTTCTGACGCTAACTCCCTGGAATTAATGCCCACAGGTTAGGGCTCAGTCCCAGATGACTGCCTCCATTTCAGATGCTAATCATAAGTCAGGGCTCCATTTGACTGGCCAGTGTACCTTACTTGGTATTTTCAGTTTTTTCAAAAGGATACAATTCAGGAACAGCCAAATAGAAGAGATGTATAGGGCGAGGGATGTGGGAAGGGTGTGGAGCTTCCGTGACAGCAGTCACCTCATTAGCCTAAACTCAGCTAGGGTTGAAAGGGGCTTGTTTTAGGAGCTCTGTGCCAGAAATCAGAACAAAGAACAAACTTATATTTTCTTCTGTCACAATATAACACTACTGATGTGTGCATATGATCTTCTTCCCTGTTACTGCCATCAAACCACATTAATCATACAGTGTTTATTTTCCTGTATGGTGCTCGCATGTTTTAGAGGACTATTTCCTAGAAGCCTCTTTGGGTTAGACAATCCTGTATTATCAAAGCCTTGTCAGAGCAGCCTCCTAATGGTTCATTATTATCAGATAATTTGCTCAGGTGGGCTCTTTGGCCCCACAAATATCACACGTTGGCCACAAACGAAAATATAATGGTTGGGTTTCCCCATGATCACTGTGGTCTTCGTTTCTTCTTACCTAAATACCACCATCTTCCTCACATGAAGGCTTATTAATATATGTATAGTGTCTCTGAACCCTCAGGGCCCCTAAAATGTTTGCAAGGGGTCCTTGAATCTGTTTGGATATATGCATTTTCTCAAAATTCAACGCTCTCATTGGCCGGTTTGCCAGGGCTGGTATAACAAAATACCACAGTCTGGCTTACTTAAACCACAGAACTTTGTTTTCTCACCGTTTTGGAGGATAGAAGTCCAAGACCCAAGTATTGGCAGGTTTGGTTTCTTCTGAGGCCTCTGCCTGCCTTGCAAATGGCTGTCTTCTGTGTCCTCATGTGGTTTTTTTTTTTCCCTCTCTGTGTGGGTGTCAGAATTTCTTCTTATAAAGTCAGGTTGGATTAAGGCCCACCCTCATCTTAATCACCTTTTTAAAGACCCTCTCTCCAAATATAGTCCCCTTCTAAGATGGGAGTTAGGACTGCTGCATATGAATTTGGGGGAAAACTGTTAATCTGGTAACATCCCATCCCAAACACCTGCTTGTCCTGCTAGTTCTTCAGATCTCATCTGGGATGCTCCTTCCCTTCAGAGGCCCCTCCCTGGTCCTCCCAGATTGGCTTAAGTGGCTTTTCTGCTCAGGTCATCCTGTTCCTGCCCCTGTCACAGTTCTTGAACTTGTCAGTTTACTTGCCTCCCTTCTCAAACAACCTGAAAGCTCCTTGAAGACAGGTGGAGTCTTATAACCGTTTACAGTCTCACTGCTGAGAATATGGAGGAGTGCGGTTGGTTCCCCCCTACTTTACAGTGGCATCTCATACTTCAAAGTTTGGCATCCACTTAGACTGTAAACTCGTTCGTTATCTTTTCTCCCACTTTCCCAGACCTGCCTTACCAATCTTTTTTTTTTTTTTTTTAAAGATTTTATTTATTTGGTTGACATAGAGAGGTCACAACTAGGCCGAGAAGCAGGCAGAGAGAGAGGGGGAAGCAGGCTCCCTGCCGAGCAGAGAGCCCTAGTCGGGCCTCGATCCCAGGACTCTGAGATCATGACCTGAGCCGAAAGCAGAGGCTTAACCCACTGAGCCACCCAGGCGCCCTGCCTTACCAATCTTAACGA